GGCACTTGAAATCGCTACCAAATCAGTCATCTCAACTTTATGTCGATAAAACGAAAAGCATATACAAATGTTGATAAACAGTTTCTTTTATTAAAATGTACATAAAATTTTCTATAGAATACACAAAATATAATCACTAGTTCCTATACAAGAACATAATAAAATAAATCCACAAACATCGCGAATTTTGGGTCAAAAAGGCCATTAAAAAGTAGATGCATCTTAAAACGGTGTGCACATTAGATGAGGCATTTTTCTAGTGTGCACAGTTGCGGTCAAGGTTGAGTTTAAAATTAGCTAAGTACCAAATTAACATTATTTTTACTATTGTACTAATACTTTTAATGAACAATGATACTTAATTCAAGTAAGTTCGCTTTAATTTAGTAGCATAATACGGCAAAATGGGGAAACTGAAGCAAGTAGTTCTACCACAACATGATAGATGGTGGGACTTGTACAAACAATAAGCAGTTAGCAAATAAATTATTGGAATCTTTAAAATATAAATTAATCTAAGTAACCATAATAATAGTAAAAAAAATACCTTTGGATATGCATTTTGTTTTACACGACGTAACCCTTTTGTTGTGTAGTACAAATCGTCGCTCTGAAAATGAGTCGAACAAACCACGCTGCGGGAAGCTGGTTGCCACAATGGTTCATTTCTACTCTTACGAATGACTGCAATCCACTTCTCTTTTAGATCTTGATCTCGATTAGGAAATCTTAAAAAAAACGTATAATATATAATATGTATTACATCCCAAAAAATTTATACGAATACATAAAGAAAAAAGATGTTTTGTGTAATTGTTTATCCATGCATTACAATATTCGAATAATATAAAAGTATGCCACACAATGTATTTAATAAAATAACGTTACGTTATATTTCACGCTACCCAACAAAAGGGTAAAACTGTAACGAATAATCATGGCAACATTTCGTTCAGGTTTTGTTTACAAAGCGACAACCTCAAATTTGATTTTGATTAATTGAAAATAGCAGTTTATAACTTTACTTACGTATGAAATGTGATTCCATCCTGTTTTTTATTCTTGGAAGATTGGTTTTTACACGTTTTCACTACACAATTCGGCATTTTCTCTAATAAATATTGTTATTTATTATTACGTCACACTCCGCGCGTCGGGATAGCTCGACTGAGAATCCAAGGCGTAGTTTCGTTGCATGTGTGTGCGTGTAACTGTGTATGTACACGGCGAGGCGTAGTTTTATCGGCTTCACTTTTTGGTTCGGCAGACTCCGTCTATACTTTTTATTTGGTCTGAGGTATGATGATACTTGTGTGTATTGATGATTACCTAACGGCTCTGGTCTCAATGGCACCTCAGCGGTAATCACCAACATTACACACTTTTACACTATAAAGTACTATTTTATCTATAATAATTTTATTCTGATTCAATTAAATATGCTTGGCTAAACTTTTTATAAGCATAGGTGCCTACTATATATAAAACAGAAACAAAATACTACTGTATAGGATTGCTACATTCATACTAGTGGCGCTATCATTTAATGTCACGACTTTATAGACAAACTGTACACTGTTTATGTATTTGATAGAAGTTTTGGGTCAAGTGATTACAGTGCCCCTAGTGGCCAAATTTTGCAGATTTCTTGTCCTTATAAAACTAAAATAATAATTGAAAACCTAAAACATTTCAATATAATATCAAAATATTTCTGGTTCACAAATCAAACTAAACCTTTTCTACGTGGTTATGCTATGGCTAGTGGTAGTAGAGGCTTTATTACGTAAGCAATAAGGGTGATATTAGTATTATATCCTATGAACACTATCATAATAACCATAATATTAAATAATATGGTTCATTCACTGCACACAGACAAAACCTTAGATAACAACAAAATAAGTTCAAGTCTAATAGCTCAAAGACTCAAAGCAAATAGCATCCAAAAATATTGCTTCCCTGTATTATATACAGTCGTCAAATTAAAAATGACTTCAATATGAGATAACTCATGAAGTCACTTTCCATTACAAATGTAAAAGTTATAAAAATTATGACTAAAGCTAATAAAATACACAATGCGATTCAAATAAGAATAGGAAAGTTAATGACCTCTATCTGTCAAATGTCGCTTGAAAAGTACGGTTTGCAAAAAAAACTTGGAACCCTTTTTTAGCACTCTGCTAATTCAAGAATAAAAAGCAAACATTTGTAGACAAACAATAACAAGTATTGATAATTAATATCGGTTGATATTTTTTTTCACTTATTGAGCTTTCGCCATGAATGGTTGATACTTTAAGTTGAGTTCAGAAACTCGATTTCAAACTATCGTTTACATAAAGGATGCATGTTCGTATGTGACCTAGAGTCCGCGCCATCACTCCATGACGAACGAAAAGTAATAAAAAGTTCAGCCAAAAAATCAATTCTTAAAGTACAAGAGTATTGTGAACTGGAGAACAAAAATAACGATTGGTCCTTTTACAATATTAGCAAATGCGAGTCGCTGCCATGACAAGTAAATTTTAGGGTTGCAAGTTTATTGATGTGTACCTAATTTTACAGAGTAACATAATCTAATAGGCTTGTGTTATGTTCATATAATTCAAACAGAAAAGTAGTTTGTGTTGCATTATATTATATTTTCATATTTATTTACTTTAATTTATAATTAAAGTATTCAGTTTTTACCTTTTTGCAGTTGCGAGTATCATATTATTTAATTAACAATAAATTAATACTATGAACAATAATTTAAACTTTTTTTTTATGATTTTAGGTGTATCTGTCAAAACGGTGTCAAGAATTACTAAAGAAGGAAAAATTGCAATGGCAAAGCTCCTACGTTGCAATGCTAAAAATAACATGTGCAGGAGTGGTTAAGACAAAAACAAATTTACTTTAAAGAGAGACCGATTGAACCAGTGTTATATGATATTATTAAAAGAAACAAATAACCTTCGCTTTTTGCAGTTGATGAACTACTATCATGATGACCACAATCATTGCATTAAATTATATGAAACTTTATAATATTGTTTTATTGATAAATATTATTTGCTTCATTATATTTCCGTAGAATAAAAATAGTTTTGTAGTAATGGGGTGTGGGAGAAAATTTCTTCCTACTGGCAATATTTCATTACACGACAGAGGTGCCGCGCCGCGTCTATCGGACATGAGTGGTGGCGCGGACTCTAGTAATAGTGCATGATTATTCATAACTACTCCGGCGGTAATGCAGAGATAAGCAGAATAGAAGAGCTAGATTCTGATTAATGTTTTTTCTCACAGTCTTTATAAATAAATATTATTAATAATCGGTGTTTTCTTTTCTCAATCTTAGTAAATAAGTTTTATTAAATAAAAACTTTTTTTGCTCTCTCTACCTATATGGTTTGTACTGACAGCTATGGCATCACAATATGGCGCCCAGTCGCTCCTATTCTTAGTTGAATCGCATTAAACACGTTTTTGCAGCCACAAACTAACAATATATATATTCACTGATGCCAGATTGGGGGGATTCTCCCCAAATTTGGGGGGTTTTTAAAGCAATGGGTGGATATTAGGGGGGGAAATATTTTTGGGGGCATTAATGGAGGGAAGAAATTTTGGTTTGGGGGAAACGGGGGTTTTTAATTACATTTTTTATACAAAAATAAAACCACTTCATAAACTGTTAATCTGTAAAAAGTCGCGATAGACAGTCAATCAACAGTCTCTCTTTCCCATTGTGTATAAAGCATGACTATCCCTCTCTCATACTGGCACCTGTATTGCTAGTAACGTAACGCAGCTAATGACTCAATCCGTAAAATCGATAAGTTTATCAGCTATGGAAATGAAAAAAGGGTTATACAGATTTGGATGAAATCTAGTACTCATATAGTTTACAACCAAGATTGAGACAAGATTACTTTTTATCCCGGAAAACTGTTAGGTTTTTGTGAGAGTTTGAAAAATCTAAGTTAATGCAGACGAATGCGCTGTCGGTCGCTAGCATAAAACAATGTTAAGTATTTACCAAGTTACAAAACAATAATTTGGTAATACCTAGGTTATTCTGTGTGTGCTCAGTCAAGATCTACGTGGCGATTCTGTATTTATACATGTGCCTTTGACGAGAACAGTGGCACGTGGGCAATTTTTATAAACCTTTAATTTTTTTTATACGATATATTGCACTGATGTCAGGATCAAGTTCTTTATAAGAACATTCAGTGTTATAATTTTTATTTTTTTAAAGCATGTAACTGCTTGATGTTTAAATCTAAAGAAAATATAACTAGAAAAAAGCAGCTTAAGAATGGCTAGAGGAATTTCGACGCGGTCCGTTAGGGCCGCGGTAGCATAATTGGTCAGTGCATTCGTCCGGATTGCGAAGGGTGTGGGTTAGAGTCCCGTCTGCTGCCTGGTCCGCCCGGAATTTTTTCTAGTTATATTTTCTTTAGATTTAAACATCAAGCAGTTACATGCTTTAAAAAAATTAAAAATTATTACTATAATTGCTATTTCTTCTTTCAAAGGTTTAATACTTGTAAAATTTGTATTTACAATACATTTCTTTCTGTTGCCAATTCTTCACCCAGTATTTCCTTTTTTACGGTAACATATTTTTTGATAACACTGGGATCATCATCAACGAGTGTGTTTAGCTCAACATACGCCCGAACACTGAATAGCAGGCATGTGTGTAGAGACAAGCCGATATTGCCCCGACTGCCGTGCACCCTAGATTGTCCCTGCGGCAGGCAAGTCAGTAGCGCGTTTTACTTTATTGGAACAAAGGTACCTACATCATGTTGCATCTCTTTCTACCTTGTGGAATAAAGGGCATGATAACTCTTTTACTCATTCTGTTATTCTTTAAATAATAAGTCTATGGTACGCACTGACTCTGTTGTCTGTGGGATGAAATGAAGGCCTCTTTATTTTATCATCTTGCAACATTGTTGACTTTGACAGCCCCATTACGAAAACACAAGCGCATAAATGTCTCCCCGCGATATTTTCTTGAGAAATGACTTCTACAAATGATGGAAAAGACGTGAAAAGTAATCAAACGAGTGGCCAAAAAGGCAAATCATTTTACATTGAACTTTATAAGGTGAGTTGTCCTCTCAAAATGGTGTAAATTATAGTTTATCCTACGACGCCGTTCTGATAGGAAATATTCATTATGGCCGCCATTTTTGTCTTCTTCATCTCTTGTTTTCATATATTTTACGATACCACACTAGGATTCTCTCAAAATTATGAATTATCATCACCATAACTGTCTTCTCTTTCATTTGATACATGTACTGAGTAATGAATGATTTTTCACGACGACGAAGTTGGGCATTATTTGCTTAGGTAGAAATTCTATGATTTATACAATTTTGGGCAATATAATATAGAAAAAACTAGTTGAATGGCAAAAATAATAGTAATCGTTAAGTGATTTTCACACTCATAAAAGTATTACATATGAACTGCATGAAATGAGCTACAGAAAATGCTCACCATGTGTGATGTGAAATGAGAATAAGCATGACAGCCATACTATAGTATTCTTCAGTCACGTAGGTACTTACATATTATTTACTGACACAGCATAAGTTTTATAAACACATGTTACTGGAACTGGTGAACTGTAATCATGTTCAGTATTATTGCTGAACTCAAACAAATCCAATTGTGTTGTTGATAGCTGAACAATCTTTATTGAAAAGCAGCCGAAGTCAGTAGCTGTGTATGTTTATTAAACATTGTCAACATAAAAATTATCAAATGCAATGCAACAAAAATGTGCTTTATTTAAATATCCTTTTTTTAATGTATATAAAATATGTAATTACTCATCATATTTTTTTTTTCAAATTTTACTGTGTATATATCTATAGTTTGCAGAATAGCTATTTGATAACATAGACTGGAAGGGGTCCAAAACACAAAGGAAAAAGTACAAATAGGGATGTAAACTAAGTCAAGTAAACAAAATTTTATTGAATAGATCAGTTTGATCATCAAGAAATAATGCTATCTTAAAATTATACAGATGAAGCGCATCAAAGTTAGGGAGTGGGGTTTAGTGCAGTCACTAAAAATTTTACACTACGTGACGTCATGTCATGTGTCAAATAAATATATCGTGTCATGTTTTGATTATCTGAAAAAAGAAAAAATCATGTACAATTCTCTGTTATAATCTACCAGATAGACTAAGAAAAAAAAGTTTGTTCACATCCCTATTCTAATGTAAACCTTTAAAAGGTTGTAGTAAACTTTGCAATATGCCAGTCTCAAATCAATTAATTTTCATGACAAATCTTGTTTATTGCAATAAATGGTGATAGTAAAAATAAATTCATAATTGGATTATTTGAATCTGTAGGCCCAAGAAAAAATAATTTAATGAATCATAAGATATTTTTAACTTATAGAAGATTCATAAGACTAGATTTTCTATTTTTATTTATTTGATTTAATTATTGTGATTGTAATATGATTATTTGTTAATAAATTTACTCCAAGTAGATACATAATGACCATCAATTAGATACGCAGCTAACAAAGTTCCTATTTATTATTACTTTGCACATCTTCCTTGGAAGAGAACCCTGTAATTTGCCTTTTTAGATTTTTTATTTCATAAATAAAACTAGTTTTAACAGGTTAATGCACTAAACTTTATTTATTTATTGACGTTTCGCAGCCTTTTCAGGTCTGCATCATCAGAATTTTTTTTTTATTATTCTGACGATGCAGACCTGAAAAGGCTGAAAATAAATAAAGTTTTGTGCATTAACCCGTTAAAATTAGTATTATTTAATGAGTGAGGTGAGTGAAAACCCAAGAAACAAATATTTTTTATTTCATTTAAATTATGTGAATATTTCAACATAATGTAATATGAGATTTATTAAAAACCACATAATGTTTAAATAAGTTATCTAATCAGCACATACCTATCTAATTCATTGAATACCCCCAAGAATTTTGTTGGTTCAGATTTTTTTACATTTTGTTTTTACTAGGAAATCTGCAAAAGTATCAATTCCAGTCTAAGAAAATCATACCTATCTAATTCATTGAATACCCCCAAGAATTTTGTTGGTTCAGATTTTTATACATTTTGTTTTTACTAGGAAATCTACAAAAGTATCAATTCCAGTCTAAGAAAATTTTCTTTAACCAAAAATTCAGCTCTTCTAAATTTACAATTTACATTACTGTATTAAATAATTTGCATTGCTGTATTTAAAAACAACACTTCAATAGGTAGTGTTTCATTTCATATGTTGGGTAGTAAATTCACCAGCATTCTGGTTTATTGGATAAGATCCTAGGGTGGAGCAGAACCGCCCAACACAAGCATCACTACATGCTTCCTTGGTAGTTCTGGCCACAGAATATTATTGTAAAATAAGGTTAACCAAATAAACTATTTTTTTTAATTTTTTTTTGTGACCCTCATTGGGCCTAATTTAATAAAAGTTTCACATCTGTTTGAAGAACATCATAATGCAGTCCCTAGGTTACTTCCCCAACAGGACTCTCTTAGTTGTTCTTAGATTTACTTTTATCACTTAAGAAAGAGGGGCCTGTGCGAGGCATATGGCTGAAAATTTTTTGACGATCTCATTGTAGTCCATTTTTTTTTAAATTACGTAGTCAAAACCTATATTTAAGCGCCCTTAAGGGGCACACCAACGAAGGTACCTCACGCCTAGCCTCTAGTAAGTCTCACGGGTGTGAAACTGAGCAGCCGTTAAGCAGTCCGCGCGGCTTACCAGTGCTTACGGCATACTATCCACTAAAAAACCCTGCGAATAGCCTCTAGGCTATCAAGTGCGGAACCGCGCCTGTGCCAGCTTTTTCACGCCGACAATCTTTTGACTTACCATTTGTCGCCCCTAGGGAATAGAGTTTAAGTCCTCAGTTGGGCTCTCTAGTTGCTCTTTGATTAACTTTCACGAATGAGATGAACACGCTTAAATTTTCCTCCGTCCAGACCAGAAAGAGGTTAGAAGGGCCTTGTGGGCGAGGCAGGCGCGCCACAGTAATGTGTGACCAAATGCTCATAACTTGACCAAAATATAGTTATGATTGCACCGTTGGCGTTGCTCTCGGGTGTGAGCGCTGATTGGTTCGATTGTTTGATATTCCGTCGTTTAATTGGCTATTATCTATTAGATGGAAGTGCATCTAACTTCTTTCTGTGTTCTGTGATCCAGACTTAAGGTGGACGGTTGAGCGACGACTGCGAGCTCTGTGACCGCAAGGGCTACCTTTGCGAGGCACTGTCTGTGCCGGCACTCGACAATCTTTCAAGGGCTATTGCAGTCGCTAGGGAAGAGAGGTCACTTCCCCAGATGGGCTCTCTCAGTTGCTCTTTGATAAAACTACGTTTTCATTGCTTATTTGTTTCTTAGGTTTTCACACCACTCATTACAAGTTTCAACGGTATAGATGTACTGATTTATTTATTTACTAGCGGCCGCCCGAGACTTCGTACGCGTGGAGTTAGAACTAAAGGTTCACTGCTCGTTCCCCGTAGGTGATAGCGTGATAATATGTAGCCTATATGTTGACCCGATTTCTTAATAATATTCGTGCCAAATTTGAAGTAAATCCATGCAGTACTTTTTGTGTTTATCCCGGACATACATACAGACAAACAGACAAAAATTCTAAAAACTTTAATTTTGGCTTCGGTATCGATTGTAGATCACACCCCAAGTATTCTTTTAAAACAATATTCAATGTACAGTTTTGACTTTCCTACCATTTTATTATATGTATCTATCATCTATCTGATGACGTTTGACGACGCAGCCTGAAAAGGATATGAAACGTCATAAATAAATAAATCAGTGCATCTTTTCATTGCTCCTTGATATAAACTTTTACGAAAGACCTTAACAAGCGTTCGTTTTACTCCGTCCAGACTTTAGATGGGCGGTTGAGCGGCGACTGCGAGCTCGGTGACCGCACGCGCCACCTTTGCGAGGCATGGCGGCGCGTGCACTGCCTGTGTCAGCATTCCGCGGCGACCACCCATCCGCATCTACTCGGCTGGCTGCAGAGACACACAGCTAAGACTATTCTACAGGTACACATAAACAAATGAATAACGACCTCTGTGGCCGAGTGGTTTGCACGCCGGGTTTCAAGGTGTCGCCTACTCGAGAGGTTTCCCGGGTTCGAATCCCGGTGGGGGCAGATGTTTGTGTGATGAATACGAGCAATTGTACTCTAGTCATGGATGTTTAATATATATTTCTGTATAAATATATATGTACAGTGTATGTATTCTATCTGTTACCCTAGTATCCCATAACACAAGCCTTACAACGCTTACTTTGGGGCTAGGCTAATTGGTGTGTTTGAAAAAAATAATATGAATAATGATATCCCTTGCGTTAAATTAAGATCTTATTAAATTAGGCTCCTGATTTCGAGACTATTAGATAACTTAAAAGACATTTTGCCCCGCTTAACGAAAATTAGCAGACTCAAAAGAAACCTATATTATGGATACATACAATTATCTACTTTATCCCTGTGCAATTTAATTACTGTAAGCTATGGGAGAAAATTAGTTTTTTTTAATAGCGAAGCCTGTTAGGTTAGGTTAGGTTAGGAAACCACAGGCGTGTTTTAGTCAGCGTTTGACAAAACCCTACAGCTGTAGGGTATCTATGAGGATTAGCTATTTATATGAAACTAGCGGACGCCCGCGACTTCGTCCGCGTTAACTTTAAGTGATTTTCTTCTAAAATAAAAGATTTTTTGTAAAATAAAAGTAGCCAAAGTTACTGCTCATTACATCAGCTACCCAATCAAGCCAATAAAAATCGGTCCAGCTATTTCAGAGATTAGCTGGAACAAACAGACAGACAGACATACAAAATATAGTAATAGTAAAAAAAGTTATTTTGGTGTTTGTATATATTCATATCCATGAAGTAAAAAGCGGTTATTTCGATATTACAAACAGACACTCCAATTTTATTTATATGTATAGAGTATAGAAGATGTAATGCAATATTCTTTGTTTCTATGCAAATTTAATCTTCATTCATCTGATAATACACACCCTTAATTATTTGGATTACCTATTCAAAACTCCACAGACGGAATGGCAGCTGCCGAAAAGTAATGATGAACACAAACGCCTCGAAGAGGCGATCAATGACTTCATCAACGAGAGTAAAGCCGCCATCGTTACTCGTGGTGGCGTCAGTCCAGCGTGGGAGGCTCAGCTGCAGCAGAGAGGAGAATGGTTTAAGAAGATCCTCACGAACCCTTGGGGACACCCCGTCCTACGGGTTTTGCTGGATCCGAGGGGACAGACGCCTAGTGACGACGAAAGTAAGTGGAAACTAGACAAATGGCCTATTGTAATTTATTTAAGCATTTAAAATAAATTCGCGGATATTCGCATATTTTTACATATTCGCATTCAAAAATCTCTGTGAATGTTTTGCGAATATGAATATTAGAAAAAAACAATTTGAAGATAATAGTATGTTCATAAAATCAAAATCCATTCATTTCTTATATTTTTTATTGCAAGAAAAATAACTTAACCTCGTAATCACATGATTAGTCTTGACTTTTTATTTATTTTCTTTCCATGGGCAATGAAGCTTAACAATGCGCGAGCGGAATGACACTTCAGTCGGATGAGTTCATATCAAATTCGAACGACACTGCCACCAAGCGATAAACAATTGACGCCAATTAAAAAAAAACTAACTGTCGCACAGTGTTTTATGGAACCAAAAAAATTTACATGTTCAGATTCTTACATAAATAGATTATTTATACCCTAAAAAAGGCTTGAGTTCAATTTACAGGAGTCTAACTCAAATACTTTTTGAGAAAAAAAATCATGAACTTATCGTGACCTTTGACCTATGAAATCTAGAATATTTTTTTATAAAGTGAATATTAACAATATATTTTTTTAATAAATATGTGTCAATCGGGCATAACCAGAGGCGTATAAACGCGTTTCTTTAGCTTAAAAAAATGCATTGGTTTGGGAGCAGCATTTTTTTTTGTATTTCGTATTTATTGTTTTTTCTCCCTAAAAACGAAAAAGTGGAACCTAGAACTTAGATAGAAATAAACCTACGGATGTGGTCTATCATACATAAATAAGCCACGTGTCACTTTTGCGGCGTTTAGAAGATATTAATTTTTAAATTTTTATGCTAGGGTTGACACCGAGTGTTTTATAGAACCAAAAATATTTACACCTTAAGGTTTTTGCATAAATCAATTATTTAAACCTTAATAAAGGCAAGAGTTCAATTTCCCAGATCGATTTGCTTCGGCCTTCATTATACGAACGGCTACGGAAGTGGAACTCCTTGCCGAGGTCTGTTTTCCCGGACCAATATAACCTGGACATCTTCAAGGCCAGAGTGAACAGGCATCTTCTAGGCAGGCGTGTACCATCCTAGGCCTCATCATCGCTTTCCATCAGGTGATATTGTGGTCAGACGCATTGCGTATTTTGCATAAAAAAAAAATCTAAATCCAAAATTTCATCACAATCGTTAGATCCGTTTCCGAGAAACCAATTACATACCAATATATTTATATAGGTACATACAATAATTGCTCGTTTATAGTATAGGATGTGTGTTAAATTTTTTCAAACAACATAGTTTATTTTTTCGTTACCGTTTAGCGTGTAAGGTACAAAATTAAAATGTGGTCGTCAAAATTAAAACATAAAGTATTCCTACATTATCACATCTACATTAGGTACGTAGTATATGTAAGTATATTGTATTCGTCTATAAGTACAACACTTATTCAATTATAACATAATATACTTTATTCAATTGATTGACGGTATTAATTAACAAACAAAAAAAATAACACTTTCATTTAACTCATAGTTGACCTTTGTGACAACCCTAGATCATGAAAGTTGACCTTTATCTAGATTCTGTCATAACTTCTTAAAACCGCAAAAGTGGAACTTGATTTTTTTATGGGTGATAGAACTTGGCTTATAGAACCTTTCTGTACTAAATCCAGGTTCCACTTTTGCCGATTTTTGGAGAAAAAAATTAAAAATCGAAATTAATAAAAATATATATTTCTCGGAAACTAGGACACTTATAAATAAAAAAACATTCCAAATTTATGCCTTCAATAATTCCTTAGCAAGTGGCAAAAATCTCATGGACAGATATGGAACCGTCTTTTGAGGAAATTAAATTGTTAATTTTTTCATGCACAAATTTCAAAAACTTTGCTACTTCATATCTTTTTTTTTACTTAAAATAGTGATCTGGGAATTGAACTCTTGCCTTTATTAGTGTATAAATAATTGATTTATACAAAAACCTTAAGGTGTAAATTTTTTTGGTTCCATAAAACACTGTGTGTCGCATTCCCGAATGTCGGTAGCAGATGTTCGCATTCGTATTCGCATTCGCGAATGTTCAAAAAATTACATTAGTTACATCACTACTATTGACTTACTGCTAGATGTTTTAAATCTAAAGAAAAACCGTGGAACAATTTCCTAATACCATAATGGTATTTGGGAATTGTTCTAGTATTTTTTTTTATTTTTTATTTTAATAGTGTTCTCCTGAGATCTGTTTTCCTGTAATTTATGAAATCCCTCTTCTGTAAGTTTGCTGTATATAACTAAAAGGCAATACATAATTATAATGATATACTCTTCATCTCCAGTCCTAGAATGACATTGTCAAATAGTTCTCGTGTAATTTGTGTACTATCTAAAACACACACCTAGGGCTTTTTGTTTGGAAAATCGTAAATTATTTACACGTTGTAGCGAAGTGTAGTAGCGGCGAAAGAGCGCGTTCAAATGAATGGGAGTCGGGCAATTACCGACTTTCGTATTTCCAAATTAGAAGCGTGTATGACGTACTGTAAAACAAGAACTATAAAACACCATTGATTATAATGTCGACGAGGAGCTCGATGGCGCAGGTGGTTAGCGCGTTCGGCTGCGATCATTGAAGATAAGCAACTTTCGCCGTGGTCAGTCATTGGATGGATGATCAAAAATCTTCTATCGCGAGTTCCTCCGTGCTTCGGAAGGCACGTTAAGCTGTTGGTCCCGGCTGCATCTGCAGTCGTTAACACCCGCCAATCAGCACTGGGCCCGCGTGGGTCATGGCCCAATTTCCCTATTCCATCCATCGGGAAGGCCTGTGCCGCAGCAGTGGGGACATTAATAGGCTGATGATGATGACGTATCGAGAACTATAAAAAATCATTGAGTGTAACGAAATTCTCTTCATCTCCAGTCCTACAATGGGTGAAGGAAGAACGCGGTGTGATGTTTGTAACGCGGCTTCGCCAACTAGCCGCGTCGAAGTGCGACGACCTGGCGATGTCTCTGGTGACCACAGTGATGGATCGAGTGAGGGCCACTATGGACCATCTGCCTGACATCGAGCAGATTGATAATAAGGGTGAGTAGATTCTTTAGTCAGAATGAAATAGTTTATTTTTTAACCGACTTCAAAAAAGGAGGAGTTTCTGTGGTCAACTGTTTTATTTTTATGTATGTTCACCGATTTCTCCGATAATTGTGGACAGATTTCCAAATTTTGTTTTTATTCGAAAGAGTGCACTTCCGAGGTTGTCCCATTGCAACCAAGTCAGGATCTGATGGTGGAATCCGGGGAAATCGAGGGAAACCTTCAAATTTCAAAAACACGCACGATGTTTTTTTTATGCATGTACACCAATTTCTCCGTCAATTGTGGTATCAAACATTAAATAGATTTTCGTTTTTGATCGGTAATAATACGTCTTTCAATCTTGACCCGCCCGACTTCCAAATTATGAATCAGATATTATTTTTTACTTTACGATTTTGAAGTCGGTTTTATTTTTTGTTTCAAAATTTTTATTTTATTGTAAAAGCTTGGCAAACATGCTTATGGCCCGTCTAATGGTAAGTGGCCATCATAACCTAAAGACGCTTTCGAATATCAAAAATATCACTCGCACTGTTGTCTACCTCGAGGTAAGGAACCATACTCAACGACAGAAACACAAATTCTACAAAAAAGGTATTGTCATTTTACTGTAAATCTTCTGTATGGTGGCGGTTAGTTCCCCAGACGGGCGCTCCCAATTTGCGGAAGCGGAAAATCTGCTAGGCCTCTCTTAAAGCCACCGCAAGTGTACGTACTTTGTGTGTAAAAACATGTTAAAAGGGGAACCACCAGTCTTAACTTTATTTTATTTAAAGAAAAGTTTACTAGAAAAAATTCCACGCGCACCAGGCAGCAGACGAGTTTTTTTATAGTAATCTTTTCTTTAGATTTAGACCTCTAGCTTAAAAATAAAACTATATCTATTTTATTTCTCAAGTTTCTGAAGTAAAGTTGGTACAAATACTTATATTTGTCCGTTTAGAGTAAGAGACCTGAGTAAGCGACTTTTGACTTTCAAGCGCATTAGTAGTGTGGATGGTATTCCAGATTGACAAATTATTCACTTAACTGAGGCCGTAAGACGAACTCTTCATGTCGGGATCTTGGCTGGCCTGGCTACTACGAGAGTTCGGATGTAGTTCGTATAACTTACGCATATCGTACCTTAACCGCTGTTTTTGTCTGACGTTAATAGTTTGTAATACATGATACATGTAAACAACACTAGTCCTAACTCAAAGAATTAGAAATAATATGGATTACGAACTGCGGCAAGGAGCGGTTCCACGCAAATTGCGATCAAGTGGGCGGGGCAAAAGAACTGCAATTATCACGCCGATTGTGGGATTGGTTGGGATTACCGATTTACATTATCTTACTCAATGAATGGATAGCAGAATTCATTTGCAGCTATTTGATTTGTCAAAGTGTTTTGTTTTGTCTGTGTGCGAGCGAGTCGCGTCAGTTTTAGTATTGAAGTTTAGTTGTATGAGTTTGTAACCATGTTTTAGAGGCCTTTGTTAAAGAGTAATGCTTCCATATCTTTTCTGATAGGGATGACGACTAACTTTTTTTCTTCGTCTGTAAGGTAGATTATCAAAAAGGTTTAAGGTATTGGATACATATTTTTTTCATTTTTCACATAATTTTATAATTATATATTGATTTGAAATGTCGCATGACATTCACGATTTGGTACAATTTTTACTTAAAAGTTTATGTCACGAGCGTCCACTGCCAAACTTGGACGCGCTCTATCTTTGCAATTTTTTGGTTCATCAACCAAATAAAAAATAAGTGACCATAATTTTTTGATAATCCAACTGACGGACTGAATTGAATTTCGTTGTTTTTTATTTGTTTTATAGGAACTCGATGGCGCGGATGGCTAGTGCGTTCGGCTGCGATCGTTGAAGTTAAGCAACTTTCGCAGTGGTCGGTCATTGGATGGGTGACCAAAAATCTTCTATCTCGAGTTCCTCCGTGCTTCGGAAGGCACGTTAAGCTGTTGGTCCCGGCTGCATCTGCAGTCGTTAGCACTCGCCAATCCGCACAGGGCCCGCGTGTTGGGTCATGGGCCAATCTCCCTATTTCATCCACAGGGAAGGCCTGTGCCCCAGCAGTGGGGACATTAATATGCTGATGACAATGTCGACATACCTCTCCGTCGTCCATAGGCTCGCTGTGGCAGGTAGTATTAGGGTGAGATCTCGCAAACTCCTCTTGGTCGAGCGCAATAGTGGCTTGCATGATGATGATGATTTGTTCTATAGCAAACGTTTTGTCCACAGAAAACCCCACCACTGGCGAGGCCACATTCGCCTCGGTGCTGCGTACAGAGGCAGGCTTTACAGTCGATGTGTGGGAACTGCTCACGGATATCGAGTTTGTGCTTCTGCATAAAGCTGATCGCATATCCAAATGCATTGAACTGGTGAGATGATGATTTTCATGTTTTTAGGGTAACAAAGGGGATTCGATTACTAAGACTCCACTGTCCGACTGTCTGTCTGTCTGTCACCAGTGACAACTATGAAAACGAACTGTGACAGCTAGACAGTTGAAATTCTCATAAATGATGTACTTGCAACTATAACAACAAATACTAAAAACAGAAAAAAAGGGTCTTTTGCTCTATTTTAATAATGGCCTCAGGTAGACATTTGAAATATTCACAGAATATTTAGTTGTATAGATGTATTCACTTCAAAAATCAATAATTTTTTTTTTAAATTTTATGGGACGCTCCCATACAACCGAGCTACCGAATTACCGAGTTTACGAAATAAAAAGAAGTCAAGCAAAGATTAAGCTATTATATCTGTTGCGAATGAAATAATAATAAATATATTTTTCCTTGTATCAAAATTTATGGCAAGATTAGGTATAACATTGAAGTAAATTTAGGACAATGAATTTATCACAATGAATGTGAGTGTAAATTTTTATGAGTAACAAATTATTATGTACATTAATTCATTCGTAATACTAATACAAACACTTACACTTTTTAAATAACAACACGAAGATTTAAAATTTAATGAGAAATCTCTGTGCGTCGGCAAGGAACATATCATAATGTCAGAGTTAATTTTTATTACTAGCAAATTAATACATTAATAGAAGATTATTAACCAAGGGGATATAGCAGTGTCTTCTGTCGCGGGTGACGATTTAAATCGCGCGCGCAACGAAGGACTCAAGGTTTACTCCCGAGCGTAGCGAGGGTGTTAGAAACTTAAATCACGATCGAAGCGAGGGATTTAAGACGAGTCCTGAGTGTAGCGAGGTATTTAAGTTCACCCAAGACTTAGACAACTTTATCACCGAGGAAACTACCCTACTTTTCGTACCATTTGCAAAAAAATCAACACAATAATAATATGAGATAAGCATTTATTAAAACAATGTCAATTAAAAGTAAAAGTTAACATTGGAAACATTGGTCCAATTAAATACGGCCTTGTCGGTTTTCGTAATTTTATTTAATAATCATAACTGCACAATAAATGCGTATTCCTTTTTCAAAAAGTTGTATAATAATAAATACAAACACAATGGTGTAAACACAGATGTAGTTCAGTATAAATTTTGGCAAGTATTCCAAATTTAAATCACAGTCTCCCCCTAGAGGATGAATGAAATTCAGTACAATTTTCTTTCCCTGTTTTTAACAGATAAAAAAGGACTATTGTTATGTTCGCTTTTTGTGGCATAGAATGTCACTTTTTTGAGCAAGTGGTACGAAAATCATTATTTATGTGTATATATTATGTATGTATGGTATGTATATAGTATATATAGTATACATTTTTATATTCCTTGTTTCTTTTATAACACCACTGACTCCAGTTTATTTCAATCTTCTGCATCCAAAGGTTGTGTGTGTACTGTACTGTGGTGTTTTCAATAAAGAATTCTGTATTGTAACATTCTTAATACTAAAGCACTAACACTTGAAATAACAACACGATAATTTACATATCATGAGATATCCGCCCCGCGTCCCGCGGAACACCAGGAGGGTCAGCTTTACGACTGTCAAGCTATAACCACACGATCGCTGAATATAAATAAAGAAATAGATATTTCCAACACTCACACCAATTAGCCTAGCCCCAAAGTAAGCACTGTAAGGCTTGTATTATGGGATAGTGGGGTAACGGATAGAATACATATACTGTACATATATAAATATATTTATATAGAAATAAATATCAAATATGTGGAGTACAAATGCTCGTATTCGTATTATTAATATAATTAATATTATTCGTATATGACCTCCTCCTCCTCCTCAACCCGGAAGTCGACGCTCCCTATTCCCGTTAGGGTGAAGGGGAGAAGAGATTTGGCGGATATTACTACTCTAGTCTATTGGTAGAATTATTGAGTATGTGTTTCCTTTACAGGCCAAACAAACGCCTCTACGCGACGGTTACCAGTTAGTGGAGCGGCTTCAGAGCCGACTGGAGACCTCGCCCCGAGAGAAGAAATTATGGAAAAACGTAAAAGATGTCGGCAAGCTCATTGCCCAGGTCAGTATGTTTAAAATAGGTGTTTTACTAACTTTATTCATATTATAAAAGATGAAGAGTTTTTTTGATAGTTTCGTTAAACGCGCAAATCTCAGAAACTACTGGTCTGATTAGAAAAAAATAATTTTGTGCCAGATGGTTACTTTATCGAGAAGGTTTATATAACATCACGCTACGACTAATAGGGGCGGAGCATTGATAAAAAAAATTGCGAAAACGGTGAAAAACTTCCGCCATGTGGTCTAGGTAAACGGCTAAAGTTATGTAAAAATAACGTATTATGTAATAGTTTCTTCTTAAAAGTTTAAAAATAATTCTTTTATAGTTGACCCAATATTTTAGGGTTTTTTTAGGGTTATCAAATTTGTTCTGAAATAATGAATTTTGCGAAGATGTTTTATGTAAACATGATATACAATGCCGTTTCGCTTGCGCTACGTCGAAGCGAACAGTTCCGTCTCCCCTGCTCGATTCAATGTTTATTTACATATAGTGCGATTCAAATAAGAACAGGAAAGCCAATGACCTCCACCTATCAAATGTCGCTTGAAAAGTACGGTTAGCAAAAAAATCTTGAAACCCTTTTTTAGCACTCGGCTAATTCTAGAATAAAAACCAAACATTTGTACAACATACAATAACAAATATTGATAATTAATATTGGTTGATATTTTTTTTACATTTTTTGAGCTTTGGCTATGAATGGTTGATAACCTAAATCGTCAACCAAATGTCATTTTAAGTTGCGTTCATAAACTCGATTTCAGACTTTCGGTTACATAAAGGATGCATGTTCGTATTTCTCATTTAATCTTAGTAAATAAGTTTTGTTAAATAAAAAACCTTTTTGCTCACTCTACCTATTTTGTTTGAATTGACAGCTATGACGTCACAATATGGCGCCCAGTCGGTCCTATTCTTAGTTGAATCGCATTATAAGTGTGCGTGTGTGAGAGTCGCTTAAGGTAGGAACAAACTGAGCCCACGTACGCAACGTATGCAATGCAACGTGAGAGAGATGGTGTGCACAGTTGGCCCACGTATACGACGTATATTGACATCAGACGCTGTTGTTATATCTTCAGGTGCACAATGTTTTCTGAGTCAGTGAATTCGATGACGATTTATTACGTTTGTTATTTTTAAATGTATATTTCCGCGCCAAAAAAAAACAAAAAAAAGAGTTAAGAGTAGATATTGGGTTCATGAGATAAATAAAGAAAGAGAAAATGTTGGTGAATACAATACATTATAAAAGAAATTGGTATGTGATGAAGAGCGATTCTTTATGTACTTCCGCATGTCTAAAGTACAGTTTGAGGAGATTCATAGCATTATCGATTGCTTCATGTCGCCTAACCAAATCTCGTGTCGGATCATATTTTATTCAATGCGAGTATGAGCGTACCGTATCTTCCTTTTTGGTTTTAATTTACGTTTGCCGCAGTTTGCGGTCGCCGGTAAATGAGAATCGTTCATAACACAGTGCGTGGGGCGATGTGCGCAGGTGGTGATAGCGCGCTGCATGGTGGTCCCGATGTGCGCGGGCGTGGTGCGCACGGCGCTGTACTGCTGCGCGCGGTCGCTGGCGCGGCTGGCGGGCGCGGCCGGCATGCGCGCCTGCTGCGCCACGCTGGCCGCGCCCGCCGCCACCGCGCGACACCTGCACACGCTGGCGGCCGCCGTGGACGCGCAGGTATATACGTGCGGCGTGTAGCTGGGGACGCACGGCGCTGTACTGCTGCGCGCGGTCGCTGGCGCGGCTGGCGGGCGCGGCCGGCATGCGCGCCTGCTGCGCCACGCTGGCCGCGCCCGCCGCCACCGCGCGACACCTGCACACGCTGGCGGCCGCCGTGGACGCGCAGGTATATACGTGCGGCGTGTAGCTGGGGACGCACGGCGCTGTACTGCTGCGCGCGGTCGCTGGCGCGGCTGGCGGGCGCGGCCGGCATGCGCGCCTGCTGCGCCACGCTGGCCGCGCCCGCCGCCACCGCGCGACACCTGCACACGCTGGCGGCCGCCGTGGACGCGCAGGTATATACGTGCGGCGTGTAGCTGGGGACGCACGGCGCTGTACTGCTGCGCGCGGTCGCTGGCGCGGCTGGCGGGCGCGGCCGGCATGCGCGCCTGCTGCGCCACGCTGGCCGCGCCCGCCGCCACCGCGCGACACCTGCACACGCTGGCGGCCGCCGTGGACGCGCAGGTATATACGTGCGGCGTGTAGCTGGGGACGCACGGCGCTGTACTGCTGCGCGCGGTCGCTGGCGCGGCTGGCGGGCGCGGCTGGCATGCGCGCCTGCTGCGCCACGCTGGCCGCGCCCGCCGCCACCGCGCGACACCTGCACACGCTGGCGGCCGCCGTGGACGCGCAGGTATATACGTGCGGCGTGTAGCTGGGGACGCACGGCGCTGTACTGCTGCGCGCGGTCGCTGGCGCGGCTGGCGGGCGCGGCCGGCATGCGCGCCTGCTGCGCCACGCTGGCCGCGCCCGCCGCCACCGCGCGACACCTGCACACGCTTGCGGCCGCCGTGGACGCGCAGGTATATACGTGCGGCGTGTAGCTGGTGATGGTGGGTAAAGACGCTGCTTCTTGCCGCTTAGTGTGCTTCAAGCGACATCCGCATACGCTGGCACACGCCGTGGACGCGCAGGTATATACGTGTCGCGTGTAGGTAGTGGCAGGTGGGGATGGGGGTAAAGTTGTTGCCTCTTGCTGCTTTGTGTGCTCCGAGTGCCACCTACACAAGCAGGCACACGCTGTGGACGTGCAGGTATATACGAGCCGCGTGTAGCTGGTGACAGGTGGGGATGGGGGGTAAAGACACTGCTTCTTGCCGTTTAGTATGCTCCAAGCGCCATCTGCACAAGCTGGCACACGCCGTGGACGCGCAACTATATACGTGTGTAGCCGGTGACAGATGGGGGTGGGGGGGTAAAGACGCTGCGTCTTGAAGGCAAGATATCACTGAACTGAAACCTGTGCATTGTTGAGCTTGCTGCTAACTTCGCAGTCGTCATAAGGTTTAAATTGCACTATAAATTCTCTCTTTTGGACTGAAGACCTGTTTTTTAATTGCGCGTTTGAAATTGCATCTCCCTATGCGATTTCGACCCCTACGTCGCATGTCGCTGTTTTTCATTATTTTAGATTCATACGTATTGCTGCTGTAACTTGTGAAATATTGAATAGAATAAAGAAAAATCTATATTCCGCTAAGTAATCGCAGTAAAAATAAAAACCCCAATTGATTTCTTAATAACGCTCGAGTTTTTGAACTTTATTCTATTACTGAATTGCTCCAATTGAGTAATAAGCCTAGCGATAAGTCGGTGACAACTCGTTGCAATCGACTGAATCAGTACTCTTAGCACCAACTATTGTCAAATTCGAATAGTTTGCGAGTCCGAAATGTCATTGTCAAATTTTGTATGGAAACTTGAGCGCCATAACAGACGTAACGAAAACTAGAAATCAGTACACATTTGACAATGACATTTCGTACTCACAAACGTTACGAATTCAATACTGGTTCGTGCTAAGTGGACAGAAATAACGAATTCATGTAAAAAAAAGAAAGTGGAAAACGTGCTCTGAACGGAAAACTATCAAAATTTGTACTGCTACGTTTCTGCGATTACCTATAAACCTACCTATAACTAGAAAGTATGTGTTACCTCTTCACGTTTAAACCAATAAACCGATTTAAATGAAATTTGGTATGGCGATAGTTTGAGTCCACGGAAATAAAATAGGATAGTTTTCATTCTAGCAATCGCCGTTCAAAGGGCTGAAAAGGGTGATGGAAGTTTGTATAGAAAACCCATGGTTAACCTTTGGTTTTTCCACGCAGACAATGTCGCGCGCACTCGCTAGTTTATTATATGTCATTGTTTCCTTACAGTGTTCATCGGACATGAAGCCCTTCGTGTGCGAGTTGTATGTTCGCGCCATTACAGCGGGCATGAACGAATTGGAGAGGCTCAAATTGAAGACTGAAAAGGTATATTATCATTACTGTATTTATTGTGTTTGTGAAAATTATAATATTTTAAACCATTCAACTGCTAGATATTTAAAACTAAAGAAAATATAACTACTAAAAATTTCACTCCGTCCAGGTTTCAGACGGGACCCGCCCAGATAGCGGAGGATGTGAGTTTATGTTCCGTCTCTAACCTAGACTGAATTTCTTTCTAATGATATTATTTTTGTATAGCGTTTAACGGGTAGTAACATTTCAGTCACATTTTGTATTGATACCAAATATTGTACATTAATACATATTTTATTGCACTTATATCTGTATTATATATGTAACGACGACCGACGACGACGATTGAGGACCTCCGTGGTCGAGTGGTTCGTACGCCGGGTTTCATGGTGTCGCCGACTCGAGAGGTCCCGGGTTCGAATCCCGGTGGGGGCAGATGTTTGTGTGATGAATACGAGCATTTGTACTCCAGTCATGGATGTTTAATATGTATTTCTATATAAATATACTTATATATGTACTGTATATGTATTCTATCCGTTACCCTAGCATCCCATAACACAAGCCTTACACAGTGCTTACTTTGGGGCTAGGCTAATTGGTGTGTGTATAAAAATATATATATATATATATATGAGATAACTCATGAAGTCGCTTTCCATTACAAATGTAAATGATATAAATATTATGACTATAAAATAGAAAAAATATAAAAAACTGGACTGGTTAGTGGTATGGGAGATGCTTTCGCTCCCATTAGTGGTGACGATTAGGTATAACTTGTACCCACAAAGAAACAACTCATATCCTATCTCCTCGCTTATTTCTGTCAGAAAAAGTGTTTGAAAAGGACATGGCCATTTTAGATTAATTTATTTCCTGATTGTGTAGAGTTGTAAATTTTCTTTTCAGGAATCGGAAGCACGATCCACGGAACAGACCCTATCTTCCTGGTTCACCCAACTAGGGTCTCTGTTGTCATTGAGCGACAGGATCAAGTGCGAATGTACTTTGACCGCATTCTCAGTGCATCCCTCTCCCGCCATGTACGATAGGATAAAGACGGCACCTATATTATCTCCTGTCGCTGTGGTAAGTGTGTATCTAAACATATGTTTGCACACTAGGAAACAAAAAAAACATTGTTATTTCCATGATTATGAAAAAAACTTGGGACCGTTGATTTTTAACTCGCTTTTATTAGGTCGACTTGTAACGAACGAACTAATATAATCTAAGAATCTGAATTACACACTCTTCTAATTGTTGTATCATCATAAACTTGGCAGTTATATGTAGATTAGATGGCATGGATACAATATTATGATACCATCGAGCTGCTCTGATGGTGGGACTGGAAGAAACATATCGAGTTTGGGCTCATTAGATTCGTCTTAAGATATTTTATTCATTTTTCCTAATGACGAGGACCTGACGATAGACTGGAAGGTGGCTGATTCATCCTGGGCTGCCTACTAGTAAACAAATCGAGTTTGGGCTCATGAAATTCGTCTTAACATAATAAAACTTGGCAATTATACGTAGACTAGATGACAATACAATATTATGGTACCATAAAGCTGGCCTGATGATGGGACTGGAAGGTGCCTTGGACTGCCTAGTAGATATATCGAGTTTGGGCTCATTAGATTCGTCTTAATATAGTCTGTTTATTTCATGTATATGTATATGTTGAAATCACACTAATATAATAAAGGCTAAAGTTTGTGAGTGTGTATGTTTGATACTTCACGTCTAAACGGCTGGAGAGATTTTAATATTTCTTTTTTTATGGAGTTGGCTGACACTCTAGATTAACACATAGGCTACGTTTTACTGCGGGAAAATATCTCTAATAAACCGCGGGTAACACCGCGGGGCACAGCTAGTAAACTATAAACATGGCTTACTCTAAGGCCCAAATGAAGTAAACAGAGAGTATATATTGTTAATTTATGGCTTTTTAGTGCAGTAAATAAAAGCGTGTTTTTAGCTTTTTCAAGAAAAAATAATGGTTTTAATAAGGTTACGATTTCCACATATTGGACCTTTCCTCCTGGATCCTTTTCGTATGCGCTCTGTTAACTGCGTTCATACTTCAAATTAGCTTCCTTGATCATTTTTAAATTCTGTATTTGGGAAAATAAATATAACCTAAGAAACAAATAAATATACTCTAAAAAATAAAACACGTATTTTTTCGTGATTTGTTTTTTGTTATTTTCACTACAGTTAAAAAAAACTGGGTTTTTGTATCTCTAGGTAGGAAACGGCTCGAGTGATACTTTTAAAAATATCAGCCTATGCAGGCCACCATCCTAAAAATATCAGGATTTTGCCACCCTTGGCTTTTAATCATAAAAAACCCACAAATTGAAAAAATATTCCAATCAAAAGAAAATTTTACTAGAATAAATAACACTTAGCCCCGGCTTCTGGATAGATCCTTTTAGCTATCCAGGCGAATGCATTAACCGATCAGCTACCGTGACCTTAACCGATGTATCAAATTTCTTCTAGTATTGCTTACGCTGCAAGACAGCGCTACTTCTGCACACTTCAGGCAATTATAATATAAAAAATAATGATTTATTGCCAATTTTTTTATCTCTCTTTTATAATTAACCCCACATTATGTTTAGCCGGTCCTGTGATAAGTATTTTTACAAGTATCAAACGTTGTAAACAACAAGTAATAGCATAGCCTTGTTAATTTCAACTATAACGTGAAAATTGCAGCTGGACGACCAAGATATAAAACAAGAAACTACATCGGAATTCGGCAGTTGGGCAACAGATAGCCGGACGCAAACCAACCTGGTGAAGACATCGGAAACCCTCAACATTAAACAGACGCAGAACAAAGGCAACGTTATGTCCACCGCTATATTAACCGAGGGCGAAGCCCTGGGGCTTAGCCCTGAACTCTGCCAGGATTTAGCGGTGCTTCTCTCCGGACCCAGAGTGAAGACCCTTTCGTGGGATATGGACAGGTGAGTGTGAGAAAATGCTTTATGAAATGAAGCGTATTTCAATTTTGGAAGTGAGGCCCAAGCACAAAATTTGACAGATCCGTAAGAGTCGCGTCGTCAAAGTTTCTATGGAAGCTAAGCAGCGCCTCTACCGGTCTTAGGAACAAACTAGCTCAGTCCATAAACAGTATTTAATGCCGGCAAACAAGAATAGCCAAGTGAAATGCCGGCATAACGTCGACGACACGATTACGGAGCTGTCGAAATTCATGCTTGGGTCTCTGCTCTTGTCTTTTCTTAGTGTGAACTAACGTATCGTCCAGCTTTGCTAGATTAAATAATGATTTTAACTTTCACTAAATTTCAAGTTTTATTTTGTCCACAAAAAAGCAAATAATCTATATCCAATGATATTAAATACCCTAGATACAACACCACGAACAAAATCGTGGCCCAAACTGTCCAAAAGGTACATTGGACGATCCACGGAACTCCGTAAGATGATCGTGTTGTCATAACAACATAAGGCATTATTTACACATTGAAAGTCACCTTTAATGCATACCGTATAAGGTCTTAATTAAAACGCACTCGTCAAAGAGTTATGACATTTCAAAATTTTACGACTTATTGCTATATGCAGAAGAATATATTTATTTTACCGTATTTATTTGACTCTGCAATTCTGAATGCGCTGTTAGCAATACAGCAGATACGGACCGCGAGGAAAAGAGACAGCTATATTACCGACCATGCATTAGAATATCACAAATATTTTCTACTAAATCAGTTTATAGTAAGTATTAGAACAAAATTTGTTTCAAATGCGTTAAATTAACATTTATTAGATACTTGTCGAAAAAGGACACTTTCTTTACTCATAGTAAGTACTCTCTCAATTCGCATTTTTTCACGGAGCTCTGCGGCATCTTGCCTTTTCAACGGTCCGCGCGTGACTGTGAACCAAGAAGTGCTTGAGTCGTGTTTAAGCACTTCTTGATTGGGACACATTTTGAGCGCACATGGTGTATCTAGGGTATTTAATATCGTTGCCTATATCTCTCGATCTCCATACCAAAATTTATCCAAATCGATTCAATTGTTCAGGCGTAGAGTAAAAGTAAACTTAAAAAGTATTCATAAGTGCGTTCAAGTCATCCTCGAAAAAGCTGAGCAAAACTTACTGTTTTTGTTTTTGCCAACACGTGTCTCTGGTCGCGAATAAATTCTTTTTAAAACTCCATATAGACAGAAACATACTCATCTGTCGTGTCGTGTTGTGACGCGATCGGTATCATACATTTACGGTACGGTTAGAACTATATTTGTGTGTCGCGATGTGTCGATAAAGTTCTCACCCTAACCATAGTAATGGCGCGATTACACTTGGTCGTTGGCCCGAATACGAGTGCCAATGGAATTCGGGATAGTCAAGTCTAGCCTCGTAAGTGCCCAAGTTACGCCTCATACCAAACTTAGCGCTTAAATATCGAAGAAATCGCCCCTGAATACCCTCTAATCTATTTATGTGGATGTTGTAGAATGGTGAACATGCCACTGAACAACTATTTATGTGGATGTTGTAGTATGGCGCCCATGCCACTGAACAAGATTCGAGTGTACTTCTAATCAGTGCGAAATAAAGAGTTAATATACTCGGAAAATCTTCTAAAAGGTTTTATTATTCTAAACTAGCGGCCGCCCGCGACTTCGTACGCGTGGAGTTAGTTAGAAATAAAGGTTCACTGCTCGTTCCCCGTAGGTGATAGCGTGATAATATGTGCCTATATGTTGACCCGACTTCTTAATAATATTCGTGCCAAATTTGAAGTAAATCCATGCAGTACTTTTTGAGTTTATCCTGGACATACATACAGACAAACAAACAAAAATTCTAAAAACTATATTTATGGCTTTGGTATCGACTGTAGATCACACCCAAGTGTTCTTTTAATAAAATATTCTATGTACAATTTTATCTTTCCTAACATTTTATTATATGTATAGGTATGAATCCCATGAGCTTATTAGCTTTTTAAACATTATAGTCATAGTGACTGGTGAACCATAGTTTGCTGTCCAGTAGCATCGCGGGATTCCTAACAACGTCGAGTCTTGTCAATGTTTAATCATTAATAGTGTAAGTGTTATGTATAGGTCGATTGTTTTTCGTATAGATATCAAAGAACATTTTGATATATTTAGCGTCATGTTGTTATTTAAAACCAGTTAGACAAATGGTTGATGTCACTTTGCAATATCTCACAATCGTCCTTAGATCTAATTTCTCTGTAAATTTTTATATCACCAGGCAAGGAAATTGCTTGAAATCAAGTTGACCAAATCGTTGATAAATAATGATACAAACAACAGAGGTCCAAGGTTGGAGCCCTGTGGTACACTGGATCTAAGCATAAAAGGCGCAGATTCATATCCATAGATTTCATTTAAGTTTTATTACTCATGTATAAAGTATATACACTGTTTAATGGTAGGAAGCGCGTGCTGGATCTTGCCTTATTGTTTTAATCTAAGGATTATTCGTGTACGACAATACTGTAATACTGATTATTACTGTGTGCGTTAACATAATTTAAAAAAATCTACTATTTTCCAGAGAACTTCTCCTAGAGAACTGTCGCACTTACATGGAGCGCACTCACGGCGGTACTAAGGCTTTGACTACTGAGCTTAAGTATTTGAACTTAGACCTTAGTTCCTACCAACACTTGCCTGAAGAGGAAGACGACGAAAACGACGTCTATTACGGCATCGAGAAAGGTCAGATTCACCATATTATTATTAAAAAAATATTGTAATGAATTCATGTATTTTTTTATCAAAGTAGTCATTGTAAATGTTACCTACACATAGTATGAGAATTTTCAAAATAAAACTGATGGTAGTACTTCACATAGCTTTTAGTATTTGCTTATTCAGTCATCATCATTAGTATCCTTTTCATTCCTGTTATCGTATGACAAGGACAATTTGCGGTCAAAATGACAAATAGCAAAGAGGAATGGCCATCTGAAGTGCTAGCATGAAATATTAATTCAAAAAATTGCTGTTGTAAGCGATATTTTTATGTGAGATTATTTGTTCTAATTGTACAACTTGTTTCAACACCAGGTTATGAGCATCTCGTAGAACTTCAGGAGGAACAATTGTCACCAAACGTTATGTTTGATTACGAAGAGACAGAGACCGCAGACTCTGACTATGACTATTTGGATACTGACTCCTTTCCAGTGAGACGAAAGAAGAAAACGAAACACCCCGTTAAATATACCGACGAAGAGCCTGACCCTTTGAGCGTTCCTGAAACTACAGAAACTAAAAAGAGTGAAAAGAAAAAAGAAAGGCCACTCAGCAAGGAGAGAAGTAAAGACAAGACTGCTACCAAAGTGAAAAAAGAGCGAAAGAAGAAAACCAAAGCCTCAAGAGACCCGAATGATAGTAAAGAAATTAGCGGCGAGACACGGATAGAGGTTCCAGAAAACAAAGAAAAGAAAGACAAAGAGAAAAAAGAAAAGAAAGAGAAAAAAGAAAAGAAAGAGAAAAAAGAAAAGAAACCGCGCAAGAAAAAACCTAAAGAAATCTCGGAAAAACCGCCAGCTGAATGCAAACCCAGCTCTTTGTCCAAACTCATTGGCATGAAAGTTGCAAATGTAAAACAAGCACCTGAACTCAAATACCAGCAAAACCCTGTTGTTACTAAAGTAGCACCTTGCATCACTGACAGCGACTACGACAGCCAAGGAAAATCTTCTTTGGCGTCACTCAATTCGGAAGGAAATGACCCAGACGTTTTATTCGACGGTTTGTTTTCTATGGACGACTACAGATCCCCGGAGAAACACGACCCGCTATCGGATCGGCGAAATTCTCTTTCTAATAGCGAGCTTAGCTTTTCATACGGTCAGGTAGCTTTGAACAGTATACAAACTCCACGGAGGTCCGATTCCGAAAGATCTAATACAAACAGCCCAGCTTACAGTGATACGCCAAAGACTAACCACAAAATTCAAGATGAAGTAAAAAAGAGGATCGTTTCGCTATTGGAATTCAGAAAACAAAAGAAACTGGTGGAGTATGCGCAAAGATCGCCTTCGTCATCTAGTCAAAGTCCGTTAACACCAATTAAATCGCCTAATGCTATCATACAACCAGTGTTTCCTGAACAGTCGATAATTAGTCCAAAAGCCGTTGAAATTCCTGAAATACCCAAAGTCTATATAAATAAAAACCAAATAGATCAAATAAAAGCAATAAAAGATGAGGTTGATATTTTCTTAAAATCGAAATTCTCTAATCCTGTGATCCAATATGCGAATAAACGAAATATCGAAGGAGGGCCGCAATCAACGATACAAAACGATTGTCTTAATTTATCTACTAGCCAACAAGACGATTGCCTCATAAAGTCATCAAAACAAAATTCAGCTTATGGTGAAATTGACAAAACGAAAAAAATTATTAACGCAGCGGGCAGCTCTTATCCAAATAAATCATTAGATTTGTTAAATCAGAAGAGTTTACAAGATTTTCTTAAAGAATTACACGAAGCCACCAACGCCGGAACGAAAGGATGCTCTAACAAAAGCTCGAAAACGAGTAGCAAACCTAGAGTAAAGAAAGAAAAACCAATGTCCAAAGTGTCTCCTGTGATGCCTAATGTAACTAGCAAAGTAGAACCTACGTCTTCTCATTGTGCCAAAATAAATAGTCAGGGAAAGAAAATGGAGACACAGCTAAATACATTTGCCCGTCTCAGCTATATGCATAAGAATAAACAGCAACAACAGTCTGTCGATGCTATTAACCAACAAGAAATGTTAAATCGAAGTATAGAAGAGCAGAGACTTTCCAAATTGAAGCATCTACAAAATAGCAAGGATAACATTATTACATCTGGATCTTTTAGTAGTAGCTCACAAACTATGATAAACAGCGAAAGCAAGAATGCTGTGATCCGCAAGGTTGAGAAATCTGTAGCGCCTGAAGAGCACCCGGTCCTTGTGAATTTACTCCATACTAAATCATCTAAAAACTGCGATAATGTAAAAGTTGTGCCGCAGCAACCTGAAAAGAGGGCTGATTCGTTTCCGAAAGATTCTCTACTATGCGAAAAGGATCAAAATGATTTGTTGCTTTTATTACGACAGCAAAGCAATTTGAGTTTGCATCCACATGCTAATAAAAAATTGCGTAACATAGACAAAGCTATTAATAAACTACATAGTTCTATATCTATATCAAATGTTCCGAAATGTAACGCAGCCACACCTATAGGTGGCACTGTGATAAAAAATCATTTATCGGATTCTAACTGTAATATGTATAACACTAATCAAAGTTACGAGGGATTGAACATCAAGGGTCCATCAAAAATGTCACTAAATTCGATGCATTCCAAAATTGTAGACTGTCAGACTGCTAGAGTAAGTAAGGCTGATGCAATAAAAAAGATAAATTCAGAAGAAAATTCGGCTATCAATCCTATGCCATATCAGCAAAATACACTAAAAACCAGTCTTAACGACCATCATACTCAATCATATAGTTCAATAGCAGAAAGCAACACAATAGGTTGGCAGTCGGTCATGGATGCTATACTATCCCATAAAACACCAAGCAGGGGTCCTAATGCTTTAGATATGGCATTAAAGAAAGATCACACAGAAAAAAGTTTACGCAATCAGCGAATAATGAGACCAAATATTATTACTAAAACAAGTAAAGAACATACAAATAGCACTCAAATTGTGAAACAGACGCCTATTACTGCAATATCGTCGATTCCGGATAGACATTCAGATCCCCATACACAATCTACACGGCCAACAACTCCACTGCACTCTACGAGTACGTCACGATTACAACCTGGCAAAGCAAATGTATCGATACTGAAAAATCGGGTCCCACTTAGTCAAAGTGAAGTGGATAAAATTATGCATCGATATGATCATCTTGAGCCGGCGGTGAAATCTGTAAATGAGACTTTTCAACTTAAGAAATCATTACTTTCTTGTCAGCAGCAGCCACAATCTTTAAGAAAAACCTCAAAACATACAAATAAACCAAATCCTACAAATATCAAGCGACCTTCTTGTACACAACAAAATATTGAGACCAAACCAATACCAATACGACAGGAAAATAAAAAAACAATACAAATAGAAAAATGTAAACAAACGTCAAATGTAAAGAAACCAGGCGTAACATCAAGCGTAATTCAGGAAAAAGATCCGTTTATATCAGGAATGTCAAATTCAGACTACGACTTAATAGAAGAGTTAATGGATGACGAGTTACGAAAAGAAATAGGAGAATTGTCGTCTGACGAAGAGTCTTATCGACCATCAACTGGAAGTGTCAAAAATACTAAATGTTCCAGCAACAGGTCTAGTTATATGCATAAAAATGCTATAATGCAAGGAAAACCTCATTCCGCATATTCGACGAGTGCATCACAAATTTGTCGAGAGAGTATAATACAAAGTAAACAAACAGAAGATCAATATCTGAATAAATCTAATATTATGCGTGAGGTAAAATTGACAACAACGACGATACCAATAAGTCACGTGAACACATCAAATGTAAAACAATTAATACAAATCAACCAAAAACAAGTTGAGAATACATCTAATATAATTCATGAGGTGAAAATGACAACTGCGACGCCACCTATCAGTCATGTGAACACACCAAATGTCAAACAATTAATACAAAGCAACCAAACACAAGATCAGAATACATCAAATATTATTCGTGAATTGAAAATGACAACAACAAAGGCACCTATCAGTCATGTGAACACATCAAATGTCAAACAATTAATACAAAGCAATCAAAAACAAGACCAATATCAGAATAAATCTAATATTATTCGTGAGGTGAAAATGACAGCAACGACGACACCATTAAGTCACGTAAAGACATCAAATGTAAAACAATTAATACAAAGCCACCAAATACAAGATAAATATATGAATAAATCTAATATTATTCGTGACGTAAAAATTACAACAACGACAACACCGGTCAGTCATGTGAAGACATCAAATGTAAAACAATTAATACAAAGCAACCAAACGCAAGATCAATATCAAGATAAATCTAATATTATTCGCGAGGTGAAATTGACATCGACAACCCCAATCGTACACCATTCGACAAACGTGAACACATCAAATGTAAAACATGTAGCAAAAGACTGTAAAATTACCCCAGATTTCGGTGTAGGCAAAACTTCTATCATACATCAATCTGTACATACTGGCGTTCCTTGTATCCAAAATGTTAAGCAAACTTCGCAAGTAATAAGCGCTAATCAGATAGACGTAGTAGATCCAAGAAATGTAATTATTAGGGCAATGCCACAAACGCCCTTACAAAATGTCGTTCTTATAGGATCTGAAGTGGTTATTGATCCATATGCAGCCATCCCAACACAGCTTCATTCAGGCATTAGTACTGTGAATCAAACATCATACGTCGCGTTCAATAACTCTCCAAACATAGCTGTTTTTCAAACAACGCAATTTGCTGCCCCAGTTGTGAATCCGTTTATAATCGGAAATGCTTTGACAGTCCAATCGACACCAATATCTTTAAATGAAACAACATCTTTAGAAACTTCCTCGAACCAACTAACGGTGGATGCAATCCATATTGGATCACAGAAAAAGCAAGAGTCACGCAAAGAAATTGCACAAAAAAATAAGATTGATTCTACTTTCGAAACGTCCAGTGACTTCACTAATTTTGAAAATCAAAAATTCAAATTATTGAATAAGTCGAAAGATACTATACTGCAATCAAAAGCAGACACTTCTAAAGTGATGAATGTTAATTCTAATAAAGAAATTGATAGTAACACTAACTTACACTGTAGCGACAAAAGTGAAGTATTGACAAAACGAGAGGAATTCAAGCAAATGGATGCAATACATAATACCAATCACAAAAGAGAAGTTTTAAAGGAAGTTCAAGATAAGCAAAAACTGAGAGATGACATCATTTTTTCAAAACGTAAACAAGCTATCCTCTCTGAAAAGAAAGAAACTCATCGCGAACACGATAAAAATTATAATTTAGCCTTAGTACTAAAAGAACCAAATCTTTTTCTTGAAAATGAATGTAAAAAAGAAAAACACAAAGAAAAAGAAAGATTAAAGAATAAACGACTGGCTATTGTTAATCGAAAAATTGACAACACTTCAAACTATCCACCCATTCCTTTGAGCTACAGTCAATTGCAAAATACCCCTTATTTAAATGAATCGTCTGTATCCACAAGTAAAGTAGTTAGCTCAAGTGAATCAAAAGAAATTAAAAATGAACCTCTTTCTAATTGTGACATTGGGATCCAGAAAAACATACTATCAACTAGTGGAAAACAAAGTAATCATGAGAGTAAAGAAAATAATAATTGTATAAAAATACGGAATGTTTACCTAAGATCTGATGATAAAAAATTTAAGCCTTCAGAGCCTGACAAACTTCAAAATGTCATTACTAAATCTAATCTAAAACTGCAAAATCAAACTCATCCAACGGATAATGAGATCAAAGAAAAAGGCAATATGAAAAAACAAGACGTCGTGAGCGACAGCAAAAGTACAAAAGTACCGAAAAAAATTGTCATATCCAAAATAGTGAAAATTCCAACTAAAACTAGTGTTAATTGTACAGAATCATTGAAAAAGGTTCCCAAATTAATTCTAAAAGTTACAACAAAATCAAAAAAGAAAAAGAAGAAATCTAAACATTCAGTGAAATTAAATGCAGTGTCAACGAAAAAAGATGGTAAAAAACAAACAGCTCACCTCGAGTTAACCAAAAATACACACTATACGAATGTAAACTTCATCGACCCAAAAGATAAAATATCGAAAGTATCAGTGTTACAACAAAGTGATAATAATATCGAGCTTAAAGAATTTTCCACAAAAAATGAAATGGATACCACTACTGAAATAAAAAGAAACATGTCTTTGAATCGTATCAGTTGCACTGGTGAGATCAGCAATATTAAAACCAAGGAAATAAATCAAAGGCCAACAGAAGATATTAAAGAATCTTACGAAAAACATAATATTTCTAAAATTGAAGTTCCGGAGAGCAAAATAATCGAACAAGATTCTAATGAAAAAAAGACAAATTTTAATGACTCAATTATACCATTAGAAGCGACGGTAACAGATCACAGCTTAAACAAAAAATCAGATAAATGTGAGTCAGACACACACACATGCCTGATAAATGTGTGTCAGACAGCAGGCACTTCGCATTCAGTTATAAATTATCCAGAAAGAACTATTTTACCAGATGATATAATATCGGATTCACCATCAAAAACACAAAGCAAATCACCAGAGCTAGAAATCCCGCGACAAAAAAAAGGAAATGAAAATTTTATTGAGACTTCTGTCATAAAAAAGAATAGCACCGGTTTAAGTATACAGAATAATAGTGAAAACAAATGTAAGTTGATACCACATTCTAATATACAAGGCAGAATTGCTAAAAATACTACGATTAAGAAATCCGTCCCTGATAATAAAATATCAGATACCACAAAGACAAAGGTGTCAGAAAATAGTAATCAGGATATCCGACTATCTGCTAATAACACAATTAAACCGTCTGAGAACCCGAGAAAACAGATATTGAAGGATTCAAATGAAAATTTAGATTATTTGAAAAGTAATGTAGTTATTGAAGAAGTACCATCACAAAGTCGTGATCCCGATAAAAAATGTGTTCGAATTAAATTACCCAATGGCAAAGTATTTAAAGCGACCGTTTTTGGAAAAATGCACGTCAGCTTCGAAACGTTATTTGACAATCCTGCATTAAAAGATGCATTATTAACAAATTTAAATCCATCTCGACGATACACTTTAAATATAAAACAAATTGCCACAGCAGATGTAAAGGACCCTACAAAAATTTATAATTCGCGTATCGAGGAAATCCGGTTACAAAGCAAGCCAGACGTTATCGATACTGTTGATTTGTTGAGCGACGATGAAGATGGAAAGAATGAAAAGAAAGATGATCAGACTGAAGCAGACACTATTCAGTTTAATGGTTACAAAGTTTCATCACACAGCAAAGAATTCTTTGAAAAACATAGGAAAAATTTATCGCAACAATGTTTGGTAAAATTGACCCGGACTGATGATGTTAAGAAAAGAAATCTTGAAGAAGATGCTATTCAAAAAAACAAGATAGTGAATGACAATTTTACAACTGTGCCGATTAGTAATTTATATATCAAGACACCTATTGAAAATGTACCAATTCTGAATCCGCCTGACTTACAAAAGATTTTGATAAATAAAGAAACGAAAGAAACACTGGCAAGTAATGATTTTATTTTGCCCGATAAAATTTTGGATTCCACTATTGAATCTAATGTTATCGAAATTGATGATTCATCTAATGACAGCTTAAATCTTTTGCAAGACTGCCCAATATTATCAAATCAGTTCAATAATGTTATAGACGACTCATCTATACCTTTAATTAAAAAAGAAACAAAACCAGAAGAAAAGATTAGTGAATTAAAGAATTTGTTATTACAGGATCTGGGCGTTAATGAGTTAGAAAATATAACCAGTGATCCTAGTGCTGACCTTCCTTCTGTTGATATTTCAAACGATGATGAAAATATGAAAGTGAAAAATATAACCAGTGCTCCTAGTGCTGACCTTCCTTCTGTTGATATTTCAAACGATGATGAAAATATGAAAGTGAAAAATATAACCAGTGATCCTATTGCTGACCTTCCTTTTGTTGATATTTCAAACAATGATGAAAATATGAAAGTGAATTCAATAATAAAAGAGTGCTCTGTAGAGTTACATAGATGTGATAATATTGTTAAAAAATATGAACAAAATAAAATTATTAATCAGCGGTGTACTGTTAACCTTATAAGATGTGATGACATGATTGTAGCCGGTAGTAATAACACGGAAGAAAAGAATTTCTTAAGCTCTGATGAATCTATTAATGTGGACTTACTGGATGACGATTATATTGTGAAGGAACCGCATTCTTTGTCCCGCAGTGGTTCATTTTCCCTTCTCGATGATTTTACCTTTGATTTTAAAGAAAATACCATCATCAACGAATCTCCAAATTCTTTTTATGAAGACGATAGGAGTTCGCCCGTTATAGACGTTTTTGAAACTATTGCGGCTTTTAGAAACTTCTCTAACGTATTGGAAAAACATATACCCGACTATTGTGACGTCATCTTATATGAAAAGGAATTACAATGTTTTAGCGAATGGCATAAAACCAAACGAGAAATTGTTGGTGAAAGTAATTTGCGGGGCAATATAACGTCTACTAACGAATTCAGTTTTAATAATAATGACTTAGTTATGGAAAATAATGGTATATATAAATCTGATGTGGTGTTAGAATCAAAGCCATTCATCTGTCTCACCGAATGGTATAAAACAAAACGTCAATGCAATTTAGAGAGCAAAATGTTTAAGTACTGTCATTTTACATCTGGTGATAATTTAAGCATAGCTCATAGCAGTACTTTGCATAGCGAATTAAGAAATAAAGAAGTACCCACCTTAATAAGTTTGACCGCAAAAGTATTTTGTAATGGTGATTTACTCGATACATACAGCGTTTATAGTAAAGACAAACTATACAAAATGCCAGAACAAAGCCCATCCCATAAATTAAAAAGAAAATTAAATAGTGGACATGATAATTGTGGCAATAAAATATTAAAAACAACAGATACGTTCAACTACGAAAACAAATCAGTTGGTAAGTCTAAAACAGATCATTGCATACAAGATATAAAAGAACACGTTGTTAATATTCACCAACACTTAGATTTACCTGAACATGCCATAACCTGTAGGGTACTAATGGATAATCCTGTTACGAATTATTTGATTAAAAACACAGAAACAGATACTGATTCCATTGGTAATTCTGAATTAACATTAACTGAAGAAAAAACTTCAAATGATGAATCAATTATTGATAATGTTAGTAATAACGAAAACAGTGGTGAACCACATACTACGACAGAGATTGAAAATAATATAGAAAAAATTGATAAAAATGAGTTTCCAAACAACAAGTTATGTTATTTGAAAAAACAAATACGTACTTGTGTGAAAGTCACACAAGAATCCGAAACTGCTGCACAAAACGAAAAGTCACTAAAAGGTTTTGAAAATGTACATTCCCATTTGTCAATTACGAAACAATCCACAGTAATAAACATTGAAAAGGAATTGACAGACACTGTCGAAAAGTCAAACGTGGCATCTACAGTCGATATAACAGATTTCGATGTGAATATCAGTGATGAAAAAAATGACGAAATTTCAGAGTCATCAGAATCTAAATCGTTCATTACGTCGCAGAAAGATAATCCATATAAACGGTTGTTTAGTGCGAATATGTCTTATTCTGAAATATCATTACCAAAGACAATAGAAAATCTTTCGGAAAATACAAAAGACCCGCAAATCATTACGGATGAAAGGAAACGTGATATTAGAACTGCAGATGAGGAAATCAAAATTTTACAAAAGGACTCGGTTATTTTGGGCTATATCAGCGACGAAAATGATAAACTAGATATTCGAAATAGTCCCATTAAAAGAGTTAACGAGTTGACTGTTTTGGAAGTAAAACATAAAAAAACCGATTCAGAGAATAGACATGTCAGCTCTTTCTCTTCAAATACCGGTGAAACCCATATATTACATCCATATAAAAATGTTTTAAAAAGCGTCTCTAATAACTCCAGTGTGATGCAAGAATGTAAAATACTTTCTTATAATCCCAAAATGGACAATATTGAAGCTGATATGCATAGCACTCCTATTAACATAGTTACCGAGTTGCCTCTTTTGGAAATCGATAGTGAAATAACAGATTTAGAAAATGAACGTGATTTCGACAGCTCTTTGTCTTCAAACACTAAAAAAACCGATACATTATACGTCTATCCGCAGGTTTCAAAAAGCGATCCTGAAAATCTAAGTGTAAATGGACTTCATAATAATCCTACAATGGACAAGGATCATGTTGATATGCATAATAATCCTATTGAAGTAGTTACAGAGTTGCCGGTTTTGGACGTCAATAAAACAAAAAAAGATTTAGAGACTTCAAAAAGTGATCCTCATAATCCAAGTTTAAATCATGCGTACAAAGCAATCAACATTAAATGTAGTATTGAAATCGATTCAAAGAACGAACAATCGTTGAATATTGTGGGAAGTAATGTGGATATAAATACTTCCGATACACGATCTTCAATACATATTTTAACAAATACTTCAAAAGAAACTGTAGATAAGGGAGAGATAAGAGAAACATGCTGTGAAAAAAGTTTACAGAATGAAAATGTTATTGTAGGTGAATTAGATGAGAAATGTCAATTTCATAGTACGACAAATGAATTAAAATGCAAAGATGATATTAACTATGTATGTTTCACTCAAAATTTTGATGAGCCATCATATGATTGTATTACTTTAAATAGCAATGACCCAAAAGATGAGTCGCTGAATCATGTTTACCTTGATGAGAATGTAATCGAATTAGAACTACAAAATACTGAAATGGACGATGAACTTGTGATACAAACTGAATTTTACTCAAAAGAAAATCAAACTGAATTTACAGAAAGTATATGTAATGATAACAATATAGAAGAACAATTTGCCGATGATTCACAGAAACCGTCACCCAGCTTGACTGTTCTTGAATTATTGGATCATGGATATGTATCCTCCAAAGAAAAAAATATAGATAAGCAAGAGTCTGAAGCTGAAATAAACAACTTTGAAACGTCAAAAGGTAGTAGCACTGATTCTATCATAGAAGAATCGTTGAATTTGGAAGTTAGTGTGGAAGATGCTTATCTGGAATCGTTAGAAGAGAAATTTAAAAACCCACATAAACAGGTAACTTTAGTTTATAAAGACAGAACTAACTTCGTATTAACAGGAGTCGAATACGAAGACCCCGAAGTCGGTACATGTTATGTTTTTCCATTGGCTGATGAAGGTGATGACATAGAAGAAGCAAATCAAACCGTTCAAGAAGTTGATTATAGTGAAATAAAGGAAAAAAATTGTGATGACTTTGATATACATGAAGAAGAATTAAAACTAAAACTTCCTAAAAATACATATTCGAGGCTCACAGCTAGATGTCCAAAGTTCAAGAAAATTAAATCAAATATTTTAAAACGAAAATTAGACATGGCAGATGTAAAATGTGTAGGAAAAAGATATAGAAGAGGAAATAAAATCGATTTTTATCCAAGAACGGCCCAAGCAACAGCTTACACCAAGGAGTACAAACGAGTTTTCGATTACTGCACCTCATTAAAGTTTTCTTTCTCACAGCCTTTTCACAATGAATTTTTTGATGTGGAAGCTATGGTAAGAAATTGGCCAATCAAAGGTGAATGTTGTCCATGTGGTGATTTTCCGGACGAAAGTGGACTGAGTAATGTATTATTCAGAGACAATGATAATATCCAAGTCTCAATAAGACCTACAGACATGTCGTTTCTGGAAGAAATTAATGAACATTATAATGAACCTGGACCACATACTGAAACTAACGATGAATCCAATTTCAATATGGGTTTTGGTGAGGGGTCCGACAGAGTCATTCAAAATTTGGAAGATGTAGGTGAAGTTTCAAAATTTTCGGCTGCGACTCTGTCGGACGTAAAACAACCTCAGCCGTGTTTATTGTCAGAAGACTATGACGACTGCGAAAAAGACATAAACAATAGAGAAATAAATAATAAAGATGACCAATTAAAAAAGTTGAGGCACTATATCACTTACATACAGCTAAGGGATAAGGTGCGATCATTCTTTCAAAAGACTTATTTAGAGTTAAGTAACGAAAGTATAAGCAAAGAGAAAGATAGTGCATTTACCTCAAAATGTCGGAATAAGTACACGAATCAATTTCCATTTGATTTCTGTCTTACTGATTTCATAGAGCCATCTCCGATTGAGGCCGTAGTGCAAGTTGTCCAGGTAGGTCAGCTGCCCGTCAGTGCAGCAGCGCAAAATCCGGTTACCTGCGATCCACGTGTAACTCAAGTGTCTGATGCTAGCCCTCAGTGTTCTATTGAAAACAGTCCTCAAGATGATTCACAAGTAACCATAAAAACTGAATATACAGAATTAACTACTGCTGAGTTACCTTTGCCTCTAGTACAAGAGTATGCTTTACATAATCAAAATTTGTCGAACGAATCTGTGGATGATCAAAACTTGACAATTTCTAACGAGAATGTACCCTTAGAGACGGAAATCAAATCTGTAGTCAAAATAGAGTTAGAAGAAATACAAGAAGTAAAAGATGAAAACCGCGATTGTTTTGAAAATCGTGATTTTCAAACTAGGGAAAATAAAAATGATAATCACACAGAATACTCCTTTGAATCAAATAGTACAAACGCAACAACATCTGGGACCGAAACTGACTTTCAAAATCTGTATAATTCAACTGCGAAGCAAAAAGAAAATGAAACATACACACAGATCCAAAAGCAGCCAAATGGGACGTCAGAGAAAACAGATCAAATTGCACATGCTATGAACGCTGCTGGAATTACTACCACAACTGAAACTATGACAAATGCTACAAGAGCTCATGCTTTGGTAAATATATTATCACAAAAATTACGCCAAGGAGCTATAGGGACGGCACAGTCTACTACAAATACCTTTCCTAAGACTACCGCTATAAATGCAATGGCGCTTCAACAAGCTTTAGCTCAGATCTTGCCTCCACCGTTGAATCAAACTAACGTAAACGATAATAATAATCAATCTTCGAATGCTCAAGTTGCTCCTCAAGTACTACATATAGTGCAAGGTAAGAATCCCTCGGGAAGCCAAATAACGTTAGTTGATAACTCTCAACAATCTGTCATCAGCAACCCTAACGCTACACCTGTGTTGCATATTGTTCAGAATAAGTCAGGAACAACAGCTCCAAGTTCCAACGGAACATCAACGCCGCAAGCTAATTCTTTTACCGGTTTATCATTAGTTGACGCAGGTCTTCAACAAGGTGGTAACCAACTTCTTCATATTGTTAATACTGGCAATCAAAAGAATAATAACGCAACTGGACAACTCCTGAAAAGAGTGAATTTATTGACAAATCTTGCAAATGTTCAAGGTTCCAATGATCAAAAAATGGTGCAATTTGTATGCAAATCTGCTGACGGAAAAGCTATACAATTAAATGCTCCACATCAACGTAGTATGGTGTTAAGATTACAACCAATTGAGTCACCAAATGTAACAGTTCAGTCAGCTGCATCGAAGACGAACGAAAACCAAGATGTTAGTCCGAACTCTAACACTAATTCATTGGCGGCAAAAGATAATAGTTCTCAGCAAGAGATAAAATCGCGCTCAGTCTACGAAGAAAACTATGCGAAGTTTATACAAAACTCCTCTAACAAAACACTTATCTCAGAGAAATCTACTAGCTTACCCAAGTTTAATCAAGCTTTCGGCAAAGCAGTATACCAAGATGGCAGCCAAAAAAATGAATTAAATACTAACAATGCTCATTTACAATCCGCTAACAATAGTAATGAAACGAATGAATGTCAGTCAAATGATAATGCAATAAATTTGGATCATATAGGTCAGATCAGCAGTCCGCCGTTGCTTTTGAGAAAATCGCCTCAAACCTCTCAATCACAAGCTAATTTAGTTCAACAACTTAAACAAACTATTGCCCCTATGAATATTCAGACTATGCATGGCGGAGTAATTTATACAAGACAAATACCTGTTAATATCGGAGGTGGACAAACGATTAACTTGATAACAGTACCAAGCACTGAATTAATAGACGATGCTGGTCCCAAGCAACAATCTGGGAGTCAAAATGAAATAGAGCAGTCAATAATAAAAATAGTACCCCAAAATCAAACCACAAATAATGAGATTTCGTCAGAAGAGGCTAATGTACCTATAAGTGGTCCAAATGAAAATACGCAGAACACTCAACCACAACCAGTACTAACTCAAATGAGAATAAAATTGCCGATGTTGAGTAAAACACCTCAAATGGTTTCAGGAGCTAGAGTTGTTAGGCCATCATTTTTCCAGATACAGAGAAATATGATAGGTGGTACCAATCAACCTGTTTATCAGCAACTAGTGTTAACTGCTGCGCCACCTCTTGGCCAACAAACCATAAGGCTTCCACAATCACAAACAAACAGACCTATAAAGGTGGCGACGGAGAATCAGTCATCAGCAGAATCACAAATGAGTTCATCCACTTTAGAACAACTCCGGGAATTCGATATGGTTCTAGAGCAAGTCAAGGAAAGAAGCACTGTGCAACCTAATTCTAGTGTGAATACTACTTTTCCTAAACTACATCCATCTTCTTCCACTGACACAACAGATAGTGGTATTTCTGCGAGCTCAACATCGACCGAAAGTACACAACAGGTTCTTTATTCGATTGGAAATAATCAGTCTCTAAATGTAGCTTATGTCAACAGAAAAGCTACAGTTACCACTCCAACAACAACAGCGTATGTAAGATCACCAGATTCGTCAGGAATTGTAGAATCCCCCTCACCTTCCAGTCACGTTCAAATTCCCCATACCGTAACATCGGAAACTACGCAAAATGAAGCACCGAGCCAGCCAAAACCAGCTAAAGTGAGCTCTAAATCAAAATCGAGACCAAAAGCATCTTCAAATCCACCTAATAATCTTAAATTAAATACAGTGCCACCAAAGACTTCTGCTCAGAAACCTTTGGAAGATGAACAAACTACGCAGAGAATATTGTATATCTTGGCGGAATATAAAGAACAAGTGGAGAATTCTCCGGACAAAGATAAACCAGCACCGCGTAGAAGATCGAACCCACCGTCAAACCCAGGATCTTCAAAGCGCAAGAAAAGTTCTAGTGGTTCACGTCGACATGGCGCTCGAGACCTTAGCCCTGTTCATGGCGAAGAGACCTGCAGGACAATGGGATCAGAGGATAGCAGTTGTGGAACATCACAAGGCGACTGTAACGAAAGCTGTTTAGAAAGTCATTCACCTCAAGATAGTCCTCGAAAAGTGGTCCGAAAACTTACGTTCGAACAAGAAACTCCAGCGCCCCAACCTCGTCCACAACCACAGCGCAATGTCATAGTTGCTGACGGACAGACAATAACAGTAGCTAGAGGCACTGCCGGTAAGCCAGCGACTGCCGTTCTGATGCCAGCAAATTACATATTACCAGTGTCTATGGTAAAAGGCGGTCAACAAATCGCAATAGTAACCAATCGGGGCCCTAAATTGTTGACTGTGGGAGGAGGGGAAGGTGGTGCGACTAATGCCTTGTTGTTGCAAAGATTGATAGGTCCTGCTGGTTTAAAGCCAGTTCTCGCTCGCCCGGGAGTTCGACACGTGAGATTGCCTACTGCAGCGCTGCATAATCTTCAAGCTTTCAATTTGGCGACTGCCACAACTATCCAACCACCTGACAGTACGGCTTCTCCAGCCCCAGCGCCCACACCGCCTGAACTAGTCGACACTAGAGCTACAAGCTCACCTTGGACCGATAGGGAGATGCAAGATGTGAAACCAGAACGAGGCTCGAGCCCTGAAGGTTCTGAGCCTTGGAATCTTCCATCATCTGGTGATGCTCATGACTACTCCTATGAAGAGACTGTGCGTGCTGAAAACTTGGACCGAACTGTACTCGTAAGTATTATTTTGAACAACTACATACTCTCGAATCTAACTTTAAAATTCATCAATTTCTAACTTACAAATGCAATGCTATATGCAATGTCAATAATTATGATTATAACACAATGCTACTTGAAATTCTTTCATGGTCATATTTTTTCTCTCTGACACATTTTGAAACTTCAGGATGCGATCCCAGATCGATACAGTCCCGATATGGAGGCGCAAAGGATATTTGATAAGATGTTCGATGTTGAGTCGAAAAAGTCTTATATGGGCGATTCGCACGACGATTCGCCGCGTTGCACTTACGATATTGACGCGTCAGATTGCGACGATAAGGCTTACCATCAGGTGATCATATCGTAGATCTGACGCCACGCGTCCAGAATTAGTATGCCTCTTTAAGTAGAACGTGCACGCCTCAGTTTATTTTGTCTGCTTTTCGTTCTGTGCTGGTGTGCCGATATTTACGCAGTACCCTGAATAAAATCAATAATGATATGTTTCTAGGGCAAACTAACGACTCTTGGTTGATTTTGTTATCGATTTAAATTCAAATCTCGTCAAAGGACGTGTTTGTTATATTTAGCTTAGTAAATTATCAATTAACGGAAATATTGAAGGTACAGCATATAGTCATTATTTTTAGATTCAAGTTTTTAAAAATCATTCTGTAGCATCATTCTATCTCTATCGAAAAAGATAGGGTGATGTTTTACACTGAAATTTACTAAATTTTGATTTCAGAATGTTTGTAATGAAAATAAAAAATATTAAAATTACTAATATTCTAATATCCTTATATTTTTCTCTGGGTACTGTCTCATGTAGAAGCGACATTGTAAAAGTAACAATTCATGAATAAGCATTCTGCTTCAGTTTCATATTATAATATTATTCAGCACATGGCTTAGCTTTCTATTGTATACATGCAAACTGGGCTTTGCCTTTAAAATGTCGCATCTAGATTCCATTCGGACATTCCTCCAAAAGAACGGAAAATGGACTGTGTATTAGGTCTTATATTGATTCTCGCCCCTTCATTTAACTCTTAGTATTTCTTTTTCCTAATTTACTCATCACCTGAAACTAAACGGGTACGATTTTCTTTCTGATCATTGTCTTTAGTCAATTAGATTCGATAAATTTTTAATTTTTGCATGTCAGTGATATTATTCTGTCATCTGTGTCGAGTAAAACCCTGCATCTAAATTGTGCATGTCCCTACCATCAGAATCTCATTGTTACTTGGATACCAATAATCTAGTTGATGTTTTAAAATTCATGTAATTGTAATAATAAACAGTTAAAGCTTTGCAGTAATGATGAATAGATCCACAATAATTTGCTGAATCATTTCCAAATTAACAAAAACTGAGTTATAAATCATTAAAATGGCTTACGCTTGCCATAAATTTTAAAGTATCTAGTACTTGTAATCATACTTTAAAAAACATGTGATTTATTGAGAGAATGATTAGCTATTTACGTTTAGGTTGTTCAGAAGAAGGATGGTTCGTCGCACCGCCAACACAGGCTGACTCACGTCTCTGCTGCAGCATTGAGACACAAATACGCCATTTTGGAACACGAATTGAGACTTCAGGTATTGTTATTTATAGACCTTATCTACGCCCATTATATGAATCCTCTTTCAGTACAATATGTATTTACCCTTTGAAATTTTCCGATTCATGATATTGTAGTACGCCTATGCATACTGTTCTTGATTTTTCCGGTAGTGATTGGTTGGAAATGTCCTTCGATGCAATGGAAATATCCGGTAATGTGTTATCCAAACTTAAATCCCTTACTTTTATTACTAAAACAACGTAGTAATATTTTTTTGTAAAACTAACATTGAACAAAAATGTCGGGAATATGAAATTCGAAAAACCTATATTTTTTCTTTAGACGTTTAGTACAAGTACAACATTATAAAACCCATTTGAATGTTATAATCTCTTTTTTTTTAATTATGACTTGATCTTTTAATGTTGGCAATAAGCTGTTTCAGAATCATTTATAGAGGTTTAAAAGCATGGGTGTAGGTAAAGAATTTTATCATCTACAAGTTTTTTTGTTTCGTTTGTCCCTTTAGAAGTCATTATCGGAAGAGTGCGAGGACCTCGGTGTAGACTCTCCGTCGGCATCAGAGTTGTTTCCAGAGGCCGAACTGTTATTCGCAGCTTCACCAGCTCACGACCACACGCAAGATCAAACCCATCACTCGCATACGCGTAAGATTTTTATAGCATTCAAATATGTTATAAATATAATAATTTCCCACACTCACACCAATTAGCCTAGCCCCAAAGTAAGCACTGTAAGGCTTGTGCAATGGGATGCTAGGGTTACGGATAGGATACATATTCTGATACAAATTGAAGTATATATAATCTAGAATATATAAGAACATTCATGACTAAGGTACAAATGCTCGTATTCAACATTCCAACATTTGATCCCACCGAAATTCGAACCCGGGACCTCTGAGCAGGCGACGCCATGAATCCAGGCGTACATACCACTCGGCCACGGAGGCCGTCGATGCTAGCGTGCACTGAAAATTAACATTAACAATCAGCAGGCTCGACGACTCAATATTTTTTCTAAATTACCTATTAATTTAAACTAGCAAACCAGTGAACCAAATGTTCACTAAAAAAAAAAAGTATTTAATTGAGAACTTCGGAGATTTTCTGTGGTTTCGTTTGAAATAGAAATCACGTGATTTCTCGAAAACCGGAAGTGCTACGTTACTCACATCCGGTTTGTAGTCTTATCAGACTATTCTCAACTTATAACTTAAACATTCTCTTTATCTATCTCTTACGGTTTGGCCGCTGAAACAGCACCACGGACGGACGGACGGACTTGTCTAATAGATAAGAGATTTTGTTATTTCATTGAGAGAGCAAACGTAAAACTAGAGATTTCGTTGCTAAACTTCCACTGTTCTAGTTATGGCGCGTTCTTCCATCTATAGTTAAATTTGACTATAGTTAATGGCACGTCAAATAAAAAGTAAATGTGTAAAATACTGACAAACGGATATTTTATTTCTATAGATTAAAACAATAGTCAAATTCAACTATAGATGAAACAACGCGGCCAATGCCTATTTGCGATCCCTTTTTGTCATTGAGTATGTGTAATAAAGGAGCTATTTCATATTCATCGACGATTCATTTTAGGACAACTACCACAATAGATGCTACCACGTTCATCTGTCAAAAAATGTTAGCGAACAGAAGAATCTCTTATCGCTCGCAGCTAATGATCGCCGTCGAGCTACACAGATTATGTTTCCTTATACACCGTGAATTTTGTGTATTACCTGAGAAACTCAAAAATCAGGTAAATAAAAATAGTGCGAACAGTTATAAACAGTAAACGTACTACACCCTAATACAAAAATAATAATTTATGCTGTTTAAAAAATACCCTAAAACGTAAATAACAGACCTATTATAGAATTATTGCCCGTTAAAATTAAGTAGATTCTAAAAGTAGATTTATTGAATTAATTTATAATAAATAAAACTGTTAATGATAAGGTTTCATGATTACATATATAGTATGTAAAGGTGGAGAATTTTTTCGAATATGTAAATTAATTGCAGTTTTCTTTTGCGGTATAACCTAAATCGTCCGAATTAACTACTAAATTAATCAACTCAATTCACGGTGTATAAGTACAACATAGAACATATATTATCTACCGATTTATTCACCGGAGGCTGCTTGCCATCGGCTACAATAGATTTTGAAATTGTCATCCGTTTTCTTTCACTATTCAATCCAGAATTGTAGATGCAAACTTCACAACCTGATTTCACAATCACCTAGTTTTCTTACTTGAACTCCTGAAACGATACTTTTTTTTATTTAACATTGAAATATAGGAATCTTGCAAATATCACACACAATTTATACTTCGAAATCCTAAATCGTAATCGTAGATGGAGTTTGTGAATCTTGAATGATTGATAAATATTGTGGTAGGGTTTGAAGTTAAACAATAAGGGTAATTTAAACGAAATTATCTATAGTTCATCAGTTAGATCATCTCAAAATAATGTACACATATTTTTTCTTCTGTCAATCAACCAAAGAATAACAAAGATAAAGCGTCGTAACGTCACCTCTAAATAAAAAAAAACTTTACGAAGACGTGACGTCATGGGACACTTCAAAACAATAGATCTCTGTGATATTTTGATTATGTGAAAAAAATCTGTGTGCACGGACCAGACATCTGAAGTGATTTTTTTCTTATATAACATAACAGGGAAATGGAGCAGCGCCTGCATTACTCATACATACATATATATATATATATATATATATGACGCTCGTAGCGTTTCAGCCTTCGCTAAGTTACCCTCCGACTTTCATGCTCGTCGGAAAGAGAAGCGCACGAATAGCACACACACAAATATATATATATATATATATATACATATATAGTCGTGTGACGATCTTGACGACATAACCCCTTCGTTTACCTTCATAACTGTGATTCTAGCGCAACCGACCCTCTTGAATCAGAGCGGCATACCTCAACCGGATATAGACGACCAAATAGCCACAGACCAGCTGCTCCCTCGCAACGATATATCCGAGGAGCAACAGGACTTGAACCTGGGTCTGGAAGATGTCGGCATAGTGACGGTCAGCGAGGACGGCATGCAAGCCACGATTGCGCTCGACCAAGAGGAGTTTGCGAGAGCTCACCCTAATACTACCTTCCACAGCGAGCCTACGGACGACGGAGAGGTATGTCTACATAGTCATTTTTTTCAAACATTCATTAAATATAATTGTAATAAACTTTCTTTTTATGTTGTAAGTTTGGCGTTTTTACTTAGAAATGAGGTCACGAGTTGGGTTGCCACCTTTTTATTGTGCAAACAAAGTACATACATTGGATATTAAAGGTAGAAAAAAAAGTACATTGTGTCCAAAATGAAACATTATCAGCCTATTAATATCTCCACTTCTGCGGCACAGGCCTTCCCTATGGATGTTATAGGGAGATTGGGCCATGAACTACCACGCGGGCCCAGTGCGGATTGGTGGGTGCTAACGACTGCGGATACAGCCGAGACGAGCTCGAGATAGTTAATTTTTGGTCACCCATCTAATAACCGACCACTGCGAAAGTTGATTAACTTTAACGATCGCAGCCGATCGCGCTAACTATTTGCGCCATCGAGCTCTTCAATGCGAGCTTTGTGCTTGAAGTCAAATTGCCTGTTCATTATTAACCAGTGGCTCCTAATTCGTGCTCCCTGGAAGCAGCCGAAGTGGTCAACGAAACCATTCCAAAAATATTACTTAAGTGATGAAACAAACATGGCCTGGCTGATTGTAAGTGGCTACCATCCTACAAATATTATAGATTGAAAAGTTTGTATGTCTGTTACTCAATCACGCTAAAACTACTGAGCGGCTTTGTATGAGGTACACATGTAATTTATGACCAGGGGCCCAATTCTCACGGCGTAGATATTATATCGGCTTCGAGATAATATCGAAAGTAGGGATATCTATTGAAAATATCTACTGATGGTAAAAATGCTATTCTCGTGGATTTTCGATATTCCAATGATATTTATATCTATCGTAGATATTCTTTCACTGCCGAATGCGTTCCGTTTTTTTCGATTAAGTTAACATCATAGTCTATATAAAATAATAATAAATTAGAGCAGAATTTTACAAGCAACAAAATGATATTTTATATCTTATGAATTCCATTCATATTAAATATGAGTATACATTTTTTGAGTTTAAGAAATCTCAACTTTACCTAAATTGTATTTGCGTATATAATTTCAACGTTATGTATAATGAAACGTCAATATTATTTAAGATTCTCCCTTTTCAAGGAAGGCAAAGGAAACAATGCCCATACAACCTAGTCTTTAGTTATATTAATCTTCTTTTTTTTACATTACAATGTCGGTGTAACGCATTCTAATATTTCTTGGAGTGTTTGGCACGAAATTTATGGAGTTGGCTTTTTCGATAAGCTTCTGTGAGGTAGTCGACACTACAATAAAGTTCTCACGTCCACTTGACCGGAATAGCGTATATTTTAAAGATTCCACTAATTCTTCAGTTGCGCAGACGGTTGTAACATGAACGAATTTTAGAATAATTAAAATAAGACGCCAACCGCACTCGCAGAAATCCCGCCCAAAACTCCGTATCGTCAATAAGAAAATGGTGTCGATTCTGGCTTCTCTAAACCTAAACGTAAATTTGACAACAGTGTATCCTTGTCATTCTCCATACAGAATGAAAAGGAGAGACTGATGTTAAATTTAGCTTTAAGTTTAGAGAATCGTGTCAGAATCGATACCAATGTCATTCATAACTTTATAGATTTCTAACCAAATGTTTGTTTAAACGTATTTTTTTTTATGAAGTCGGCGTCCCTCATTTCGAATGTGCCCTCTTGCACTCACAACGGCGGCGCCTTAGCACAGCAGCAGCAATCACGTCATTTATTAAATCATTGACGAAAACATGAATCAACTCATCCATCGTTAATATAAACTGGTGTCGATTCTGACACAATTCTCTAAATCTAAACTTAAACTTGACAACAGTGTTTCCTTGTCATTCTCTATACAGAATGAAAAAGAGAGACTGATGTGAAATTTAGTTTTAAGTTTAGAGAATCACGCCAGAATCGACACCATTGTTTACCTACTTCTTTATTTACTAATTATTTATGAAGGCAGGTAACAACGTCTTGAGGTAACAATAATTGGCTATGACACACGACAACACATTAAATAATAGGTAAAAAAAGTGGAAATAACAAGATTGAATTGACATGCCAAGATCCATAGATATTTATATATCGAAGGCTCTTCACCAGTCGATGTATGTCTACTGATCATCCGTAGATAAATATCTATTGCGATATGGTGAGAATAGGGCAAAAAGGTTTTCCTTCGATAAAAGCCGGATCATTCGAGATATATCGAAGGTGATATAATATCTATGCCGCGAGAATTGGGCCACTGGATAGAGACAGAATACTTTTTATTCCAGAAAATTGTCAGGTACCTGAGGGATTTTCAAAGAACTAAAGTTAAAGCGGACGACGTCGCAGGCGGCCGCTAGTAGTCTATAGATGCTTGCGCTAGTCGCCTACCCTGCTTGCCATCCCTATTCTACGCCGATCGTAGAGCTTCCTTACCTCTTGAGAGTTCTGGAAACGTTACTGTAAAAACATAACATTACAGAGGACCCCACAGTAAGGTAAACCTTAAACCTTACTGTGGGGTCCTAGTACACGTAGTGAATTGGGTCAGGGTAGGCAAACACGCGAAGAATATTTTGGACTTTGGTGTCGCAAGCGTCTTTATGCTAAGGTGGTTTCTTACTATCAGGCGGGCCATATGCTTGTTTGACATCGTTTTAACATAAAAAGTACCACTATAATTAGTTGGCTTCGGTACTTTAAATACTTTGCATAATTCAACCAATACATTCCCTTTTCCAGGTACAGCCATTCACCATAGCTGGTCTCAAAGGTCGGCACATAACATCCACGATTTTCCATTCCAACCGCGTCCCGGCCACTGTTCTCATGACCGCACCACAGACCACGGTCATATCCCAAGCAACTGCTGAAAGCGGCAACGGCCACAGCGTCAAATACGACATAGACAACATGATCCATTCCCTGCCATCCACCAACACTAGCAACATCAATCTGTCCTCCGTACTTGTCAAAGATGACGGTCTAACCAGATTCGACAGCATCCTCAGCGATTCCCGCGAATTACATCTTTCTAACACAGCCTCGGCTATCGTCCATTCGGCTGGCAACGCGACCCAAGTTATACGAAGAGTCTGCTACGACGACGACAAGAGAGACAATAGGTTCCTTATGGACGAGCCGGACGGTTTAATAGCGGGAGACGACGCCAAAATGATCGCCGAGGACAGTTCCAGAGATGCCACTTTGGAATCCATGGCTGGCGATGTGGACGATGACAGGTCATCGCCTGAACGTCACGCGGAACTGTTTTGGGAGTCGAACTCCGCCTCCGCTTCGGAGAGTCGACGGCCGTTGGACTTTAGCAGCGACAGCGAAAAGTGCTGCAAGAGTCCATCGTACGACGAGACCAATTCGACGGATTCAAGTGGAGTTGGTGCCCATATGAGATTGGACTCTGTTATCAAAGAGGCGAGGGGGATAGAACGCAGCGGCAGTGCCGACGGATCTTCCGCTGACGATACACATCCACCGCTGCGGACTTATCCACCCAAACGGTCCTACCATCCTCTAGACGGTGAAGTGGAACGAAGTTTATCGGGAAAGACTCGAGAAGGTGAAAGGTCTCCCGATAGCTTGGAGGTGAGGAGACGAGCCTCGGGGCGTGGAGTTGTGAAAAGAGGATGCCATTGCTGCAACGGCTCCCCTGCCCCACCACGACCCAAAAAATCCCGGCAACGGAAACCCACCATGGACTTTACGACTAATTAATATTAATACACAGGCAAACTCTATCTTAATCTTCAAAGGTGTTAACCGCTTGCACTAAGTCGCCAGTGTTTATAGAGACTCTTTCTCATTTTTTCGATCGTGCGCAAGCGATTATCGACTTTAAGTTTTGTAAACTGCTAATTACGTAAAATGAGTACTTCATGGCCGTAGCGATGCCGCTACGCCTCAGACTGAGCTGCGATCTCTTTAATTTTTGAGGTTCCAATTCTTTAGGTGTAAAGTAAAGATAAAATTGAATTGTTGAACATTGTTTTTGTATATAATTTTATAAATGTAATATGTACCGGTAGCTAAGTTCGCGTCGAGTGTACACACGAGCGGTGGTGATGTGTTTTTGTTAAAGTTTATACCTTACATTTTGGTTTTAGTATAAGAGTTCCTTTTAGGTGTTATATGTTTATTTTTCTTTTCTATAAGTGTACTTGGGTCACCATTGAGTTCAAATTTGTTTCCTTTGCGTTTCGAAATGGTTTTGATCAATGATTGTTGAGACTTCTTGTAATATATCCATATACATAATGTATTGATATGTACTGTATAGAAAAAAATGTGTATTTCTATAGGTTACATCCATTTTAGACCTAAGTGTTTCCGTTAGTGATTACATGCCATACTCATATGTGAATTTTAATCGTCATTAGCAGTACATATAGATATTTATTTGTAGCCCTTCGTGTTAACAAAAATACTAGACTGACAGGTGGCGTTTTATCTCGTTAACGCGTCGCCATTTCTCGATTCAATATGTATGCCGTTTTTTTACTCGTCTGTTTTCTGAAAGTTTAAATGCGTTTAGCTTTAGTTTACTATCTTCCACGTGAATGCACAAATCGATATGTTTCAATGCGATGGGAGCGTCAGCTTTAGCGTTATTTTTGAGATTAAATTTTTTGGATCAGTAATGGTTTATCGTCCGTGCCAATGAGTTACATTTGACGCGGCCCCTGCTCTTGTATCCAAAGGGCGTGACTATCGCTGTATTCTATAAATCTATTAAGAACGTTTATGGTACGTAGACAAGGTTAAGCTAGTGTGAATTTGATATCTTATAGAGTTAAAGTGTAAATATTAATGTATTTTCTCGAACCAACGTTCGGGGAACTAGTTCTAGTCAGTACAATACTGGTATAGTGTTACGTCTTTAAGTGGGCGTGGCCACTTGGGCTCCGGCTAAAAGCCAATGTAACGTTTCGTTTCGTGCAGTATTCTATCGCTTTTGTATATAAAATTAAAAATAAAACGCCCGCATTATTATGAATGGCTCATGTCGCAAATTATTAACTTGAATGTTACTTGTATTTAGATGCGAGACTCATTCCGAATTGTAAATAGTGAAAAGGGGCGTGTTTGGAAGATAGTGAATTTAGTGTGTGCTCGCTGTTTGCCGAGCGTGCATTTATTATAGTGAAAAATTGTAACTAAATTGTTGTGCACTCAACAGGAACTGCCGGCGGCATAGTTCAGATATTTCGTGGTAGGTGTAAGATAGGCTATATTGTGTAAGATATCGAGACGCGAGTTGATTGTCGTATATGCGTGCCTCTCGTCTATGCCACAGGACTAGTTTGAGACGGTTTCCGATGAAGGCACTAAATTAAAATCCAGCGTTATATATTATACAAAAAAATAAACTAAATGTATTTTATCTCTGACAGAATTTTCGAGTTCTCGATGTGTATGTCTTACGGTTTCATTTTTTTTGGATAGGAAATAAATTTTCTGCCATTTCTAATTGTAATTGATAAGGTTCCAATTTTTTATATAATCCAATATACGTTGTTATTGTTCGAAACATGTAGGTGATTGTACCTCCGATATTAACCATCAGACATACAGTATTTGCAGATGCGTTTTTCTTTTGTTATATTTTTCACTTAGAAGTTTAAAATTATTAGACGTAAAATTAATAATTAAACTTAGGAGTTTTGTCATTATTTTAATTGAAACAATTGTGTTTTTTGTGATTATGTAAACATTATTTTTAAAACTGCTAAAGAAGAAGTGATCATTAAAACTATCTATTAAATACGCAATGTTTTTATTCTGAAGTCCTTTAATAGTAAATAGACAAGCTTTTTACATCAACAAATCTCGTAATCCTATTATAGCTATTTCTTTGCTGATACCGCATTATCATATCTTTCCTCCAGTTTAAAAAATAAACATACTTTTTTACCGTGTGGTTTATACTCTATGTCATCGAGTTTCTTTACATAAAGATAACCCCTGGTTTCCATGGGTCCCTTGGTAACTCGATGGGACTACTGGCACACAGGTACCTTTATGATGAGGAAATGCCCGTTGCAATAATTGACATGAGTGAAGAACATACAACATGCCAGAAACTCTGAGTGGCCAAAGGACAACTGACAATATGGTGGTGGGAGTGGAATTTCACCATAAGTTCTTAATACGAAATATATTAAATCCGGTCTCAATTCAAGTAATAAACTCATGTATTGCGTGCTACAATTCATCAAAATCCGTTAAGCCGTTTTTGCCAAATAACCGTCAATGAATACAAACTTTCACATTTGTAATACATAAGGATTGTCTTAACATTATTTCTAATACACATTTAAATATTGAAAATGTATCTTATCTATTCATAGATTTTTTATCGTACAAAAATTAACAGCAATTTATTTATATTAATAAAAAGTTATCTCTTATAAATTTAGTCAATGAAAACCTGTCATTGGCTATAATTTAAGAAATGTATCCAAGGAAGTTATATACCTTACGATTACGGAAACAGTATATTTAAAGATCTTGAATGTATCTGCTGGAAAATATTTCTAAAATGCTCTCGATTTTGTGAGAAAATAAAGACAAGGATGCAAAGAAGAAAGGCAATGAGGAATTTTCATGATATTTAAATGTTTAAAAATGTTTATGTTGAACTGGGAATGAAGAAAACATGGAATGCTGCAGCCGCTAAACATCAGCGGCATGTTACTCGGCAAACATTGCTCACTAAATTTAAGCATGTTTGTGCATGAATAAATTTTTGCATTAAACAATTTGTATTTGCCATTGCGCCTAGCCACTCCACAGCCGCTCTCACAGTAGTCGTAATAGATATTTCGTATCAAAGGTACAACAAACTTTATATCTATTCCGTAGTCTTAATTATGGCGTTCACATTTATATCACAATTATCACAAAATATCTAAAGAAACAAAAGAAAATCGTATTCGACCCAAAAATATCTCGTCGATTGTCACGCTACCTCTACCACACACCACTTTCTGGCTTCTTTTATCCTCTTCATGATGCCTAGGACTTCTATCCTGAACTCCAGCCTTTCGTCTTCGGTGTATTTCACTACAGTCGGCAGCAGTGAAGCGAAAAATGCCTCGTCCTCATTCATCAACCTATTATGATCAGCGCCTTGATTAATTTCTGTAACTTCAACGAAATCTATTTCGTTTCCGCTCACTTCAGCTTTTGTATTGCTCGTTGCGGCGCCTGCATCTACGGAGTCTTTCTTTTTAGAGCGTCTTTTGTTACTTTGACTGCATTCTATTTTTGAGGTGTTTGGAGTGTAACTGTCGTCGTCATCACTGCGTTCTATTCTCTTGGACCTTTTTCTTGGCACAGTTTCTTCTTCGCTGGCGTTTTCTTCCTTCAAATAGGTGACCTCGTCTTCCTGTTCCTCGTATTGTACGTTCTCTTGACCTTTCAACAGAAATTGTAAGTGGTCGTGAAGTATATATTTGCGGCGAGGTTTACCCATCTTTGGTCTCAAGGATTTTACAAAAGTATCTCTGATGTTCGTCCATTTGTTGAGAACGTTTTCACCTAGAACATATTGAAAAGAGTGAGTTAGAGTAATTATTTCGTCAATGTCGGCGGTAATTTTTTTAATAATTGAATTCTTTTACATAGTTTAATCATGCATGATGGAAGAGAAACTTTCCCATGCGGGTTCGATTCCCGACGGTGTAACACTCCTATTAAAGGATCATAGTAAAATACTAGATTTACAGTTGCAAGTATTTATTAAACTTAGATGTAGGTAGGCACATAGACTAGCAGACAACAAGGGTGTGGGTAAGTATATTCACGAGCCAATATGAGTAACAAAGTCTGCTCCACAATCACTGTCCTGAGGTTGTCGGATGTGCCAGCAGGATTTCCGGCAGGTAGCCCTTGCAGCACAGGCAGCAGGTAGGTAGGCAGGTAGACCCAGGTAGTATGGGTAGGTTTCCCGGGTAGCCGTCACCTCTCGGTAGGTTAGATTCCCGGATCAGTAGGTACCGGTACGGTGAACCCCAATCCTTGGGGAACTATAACTGTATTTATTTTGACGTATAAATTTTATAATAATATGCAAAACTAATTTCACTTGTATGCACAGAATTAAAAAAATAGTTAAACGAGCCCGTCTTCATAGATGACGAAATAGCAGTCTCTGAGCCGCCGCTCGGTCGTTCCAACGTATCCATTTTATATTCGACATACCCGCGACCATCGCCTTTATCATAGGAGTTTCATAACAAGTGATAGCTCCCGGGTTTGCCTTGGAGTGATATTTTTTTATGTAATTATTTTGAATATAGAATTTTATTGGTTGACGAATATATATAATTAATAGTGATGAAATATAGTTATAGTAAATTGTTTTGTTAATTGTATGTTATTTTTTAATTAAGTTAAGTTTTAGGCCATTACGTTACAACGGGAAGGGAGAATGTTTGTCTTTCCTTACACAGTTCACTATTTTTAGGGTTCCGTAGCCAAATGGCAAAATACGTAACCCTTATAGATTCGTCATGTCTGTCTGTCACCGCCACTTTTCCGAAACTATAAGAACTATACTGTTGAAACTTGGTAAGTAGATGTAGGTATTCTGTGAACCGCATTAAGATTTTCACACAAAAATAGAAAGAAAAGAATAAAGTTTGGGGGTTCCCATACCTACTTAGAACTGAAACTCAAAAAAATGTTTTTCACCAAACCCATACCTGTGGAGTATCTATGGATAGGTCTTCAAAAATGATATTGAGGTTTCTAATTTTTTTTCCTAAAATAAATAATTTCCGCGAGAGACACATCCAAAGTGGTAAAATGTCCCACCCCTGTAATTTCTAAAATATGATAAATGATAAAAAAAAAAATATGTACATTACCATGCAAACTTCCACCGAAAATTGTTTTGAACAAGATCCAATAAGTAGTTTTTTTAATAATTAATTAATTAATAAATACACTATTATTAAAACATCGATTAAAGTTACAACGAACTACAAGTAATTTATTATTATATTACTTGCTGCTACGGAACCCTTCATGGCCGAGTCCGACTCGCACTTGGTCGCATTTTTTTAAACTGCGATTGTTGTGTGTGGTATGAGCAATGGTGAAGGGAAGCAGGTAAGTAAGTATACTTTTTGTTTCCTCATAATATTTCCTAAACACAAATGGTGATAAATACCTACTATACCTACCAACTTATTTCTTATGTTTTTGGGACACAAACACAACTCATTAAATAAAACACTGTTTCAACTTCGTTTTTTAAATAATTTTATACAAATCTCAACATTTCGGATCCTTTACGGTAGAGCGAAGTCTGTACCGGATCCGAAAAGTAGAGATATATACAAAAGTATTAAGAAACGAATTTTATACCTGTTGAAACAGTGTTTTATATATATACTATACTTTAAAAAAATACTACAGCAAACAAATAACACTTCGCAGCGCTTAAAGAAAAACAACCGTGTCGAAAACAGTGCTCCAACACAGCTCTACTTCGAATAATATTTTAGATAAAAGAACATAGGTTCATTTGCTTGGCTTGCAAAGACAAAAACTGACTAGTTACATACACATTCGTAAGTAGGTAAGTACGTATATAATTCTTTGTCGTAATACGGCACGGCAAACGGCTCTGATTGCTAAGAAAAAGAAACCAAATCAACAATAAGACTAGAAAACTGTTTTCATTAACCTGTCAGACGTCTTTCCTCGTTCGACATCGATTCGTATTCCTCGTCTATAACGCTGAATATCTCTTCCCAAGCTTTTCTTCTTTCGAACCGATCTTTATACACTTCCAAAGTCTTGTCCCAGAGACAGGGGCGGTCTCTAACAGCATGTATTAACTCCACAATATCATATTTGAATTCTTTCATGGTTAAATTGAAAATTATAGACACTGTTTACACTCCTTAGTTACGTGCGTCACTGACGCTTTCTATAAATGTCGGATCGGATGTGATAGCGCCGTCGCTTCCTAATCGTACGGCGTAGATAAGGACACAAAGTCGTACGAGGTCACCGACATTTTAGCGTGCCGGCTCGGGTACTGTTTGACGTGCCGTGAGCGTGAGCGTGACTCCACGTCGCGTCGGCGTCGCCCCAATACATGTGTTTTTAAAGCCAGCTCAGCAGTTTTATTAGAGTTAAACCTTGATAGGAAACATACCTAACTTTTTGCAAGGAATGTGCCTATTAACTTACTTGTAGCGGATTACAAGGTATTAGTAAATAATCAATTCAACGAAATAATTACAATTTTTAATAATTTTAGGGGATGGAAAAAGGATGGAAGACTGTGATCTTTACCCACTTCGAAATAAAAAATGTACTATGTATTCTGAAGTTGTCTTTGTTAAATGATATGATTAAAACAGCTTTGCACAAAACAAAGATTACTTGCTTAGTGCACAAAATTAATAAAACCCTTGGCGGAAGAATCTCGCTATTATGTCTGTGATAAAACCGAACGAAGCGCCTGTTATAAAGAAATAGCAACAATATTGTGTTGGTTAGATGTAAATAAGGCGTATTTAACTTTCGGTGACGAGATTTTTTATAATTGAAATTGGACAGAAATCTAAATTTATCGAAATTTTCGGGAAAAGTACAAAGCCTAACGAAAAAATTTCAATGACAAAAAACTACAACTATTACGAAAATAGACTTTTTTACTCGATTTTTGGTGAAAACTTACGTTTTTAAGTTTATATATCCCAAACACACTCTAATTTTAAAGATTTACATTTTTTTTCCATGAATAGATATGAGAGAATACCTATTATATTGTTACTGTCCGGATGGGGTTCGAAATTATATGCCAGTTCATACTTGACGGTACTTTATTCACCTCACAGTTCACACAGTTAACACACAATGTACACACAATACACCCACTAGACACTGTACTGCACTATACAAGTCTTTAAACAATCGCACTTGAACACTTTACTTGCATTTTGATCGCTTTTGTATTCATTCCGAAATCGCTGTTGAAACTCAACCTCCAAGTGGGGGAGCGAATGTGAAATCCTCATGGATACCCTACAGCCGGCTGCAAGGTTATGTCAAACACCTATTGACTAAAACACACCTGTAGTTCAAGCTTAAGGGCGGAAAGGCCTTACAAGCTTCAACTGAAGCGATGATTCCCTGAGAGGGGTATGATACAGGTTTGCTGCGCAGCACCTATCGCGCTTATATACGCCAATCGACGCATTCTAGAAAAATCCTGTTAAGTTGAGAGTTTACTAGCACCCGTGAGTGCGTAGTACATACTTATACGTAGATAACGCGCATAAGTTGTAAACAAGTGCTGATGTCATTGCACTTTTTCCCTTACGCCGTATTGCATAAAACTCATATAAGAATGAGCGACCCGCGGTATTCTGATAAAATCTGTCTCCAGTATTTTCGCGGTCTTGTTTCGAGAGCGTTTGTGACAATATCGTAAAAGTAACATTAATTTCAAATTTAAAATCTCCCGCCAAAAACGTTGATTTTTAAATAAGTTTGGTGCGATTTTCGTTCTTTGGAATCTCTTTTCTCTAAGACAAAAACAAAAATTACTACAATATGCAAAATTTTGGTCGGAAAATGCAAATGCGCCGTTATCCTTAATTCGGGAAAACTAACACATATCGTATAAAAATCAAAGGATTTTGTATTTGGCTTTCCAAAAACTGACTATATTTATATTACATTACACTAGTGACCGTCCGCGGCTTCGTCCGCAGTAACTGTAGTATTTTTTTAAATCCTTCAGAAAACAATTATATTAATGTCCCTTTTCAGGTTATAAGGTCACAAACTGTCTTTGTGTAAAATTTCATCAAAAAATCCGTGTTATCGTTTTTGCGTGATTAAGTAGCAAACATTACAAACTTTTATATCCATACAATATTACTGTCTCTCTTGCTGTCTGTCTGTTACATCTTCACGCTTTAACCGCTGAACCGATTTAGATGAAATTTAGTATACAGACAATATCAGTCCCGGTAAAGGACATAGAATAGCTTTTTCCTAGAAATCAACCTTAAAGGGAGTGAAAAGAGGGGTGGAAATTGTTTCACGCAGACGAAGTCGCAGGCACTCACTATCATGTTAGTAGGAAGAACTTTTATTTCGCATTTGATTGAGGTTTGAGACTGTGGCAATCCGACGTGTGTGCGACAGTACATGCACTTCGTTTTTCTCCTATCGATCTTTCTGCGCGCGCATCTTCGCGGCTCTGCTGTCAGCCAGCCCTCTCATATGGTGAAAAAATCACATTGACATATTCAGCAAGGTTACTTTCAGAATTCAGTGATAAAATTAGAACTTGTTCACGTTAAAATCATAGTTTTGTATCGTGTTTTACGTTTTATTGGTGAAATGTGAATATCGTTGGCTTCGTTTACCGTGTTATGGTTGTTTTAGTTCGAATTTCTGGTGTTTGATTCGCCGGCTCGAAAGGTGAGTTAAATTGAAATCTTATAATAATTACATAAGTAAATAAAAATCAGTTATCGCCCTCAAAAAGTATAATTGTCGATACAAGAGGAATACGGGTTAGTTCTGCAATAAATCTCAGTTTTTTTCATATACGATATTTAATGACGATCAAAAGGTTAGATTAATATTGTGAAATTGTTTCTTATTTCAAAGATTTGAATCTTTGCCTAAACGACTTTATATTATGTGCCAATAGCTTGCAAACTTAAACACTACTACCTGTACACTGTATAAAGGGTAAGTAATGGCGCAACAAATTACCTTACTCCTCCTGATGTTAAGTGTAATTGGAGTACAAATCTCATCAACCACCCATGGCCTGGCGAACCTTCTTGGTTATGCAGGCCGAAGCAGCGGGAGGTACGCGCGGAATGGCCTCCACCGCGCGTACTTTCTTGACTCCCTACAAATTATTCTTTATCTATCTCCTTGTCCCTATGGTCCCTCTCCCCTTTCTGAGGCGGACGTACACGAAACGCCTTCGTCGCAATCCCAGCCGTCCCGTGCCCACTCTGAAGTGGTACCGCTGGCTCCAAATTGTACGGTCCTCTCTTCTTTCTTCGCCTCGGGTCTTCTTTCTGCACCTCTCGAGTCCACTCCGAATCCTGTGCCATCTACGTGCGAAATCCCGCAGCTGCCTGAAGTTCGCCTCCGATCCCTCGTAATTGGAGTAAAGTTGCGAATATAGATGATGCGGCGGAAGGTGTGCCGATCCAGCCATACCCACCTTATCGGCCTGAACCCAATCCTGCCCCTCTAGTATGATCACCGAAACGGGATATGATAAAGCGATATATCGACATTAACTGTCAGACTACTGTCAAACTCCATAGTAGTCTGACAGTTAATGTCGATATATCGTTTTATCATATCCCGTTTCTGTGGTCATGCTAGAGGGACTGTACTCCGTAGCCGTGAAATCCTACTCACTAGAAGAAAGGTGTAGGTTGCGTCCAAAGACGAGCGCTAAAATTCGAGCGAAAATAGGTCCAGCACCGCTGTCCTCTACGCCTTTTAATTTTCAAGTTCAGACTCAAGTGACGATGATTTGGTATTGATAGTTACGAGTAAAAGAAAATGACATGATACAGACATACATCACAAATCTCGATACAGTTTAAAGATGTAAATTAAAAACATAAAATTGTATGTATAGGCACTGGACTACTGGATGATTACAGCCAATGTTTTGAGGCGTTTTTCCTTTTCCCATGTTCTCCTATCCTTCTTTGGACCACGGTTACAGATCAGCAAAATTAACAGTGGCTATGGATATCATGTAGATCGGGGTCTTCACATCGACTCTAGACTCGAACTTACAATTATTATATAAAGGGGTATAAAATAGCGAAATTTGTAAGAAACACTGAAAACGTTTTTTCTCTCATAAAAGCTGTCTATTTTACCCATTAAATGCAAAACTAACTTAGATGATTCAAGAAAAAAAAGAGAAAACTTAATTTTGCGTTAAATTTTTGAAGATACGATATTCTTTAATAATACTCGTAACTCAAGTTCATATGGTATTATTGTATTGGCTAGATTATCTCGTGCATGGTTTCTTGCAGAAATACTGCTAGTATTATGGGAACTTCTTTACATATCTGGTTCTAGGTTAGGTTAAATTCAAAAAGTACCCGCTGGGCAAAGTATATAAAGGTAAAGTGGACACCTTATCCGCTAACAAAGGCAAAGAAATTGATTAGAAATTTGCGTGATGTTTTTGTGTAGGCGATCTATTTAATCAACGAACAGCCTGTCGTTGAGAAGTTGTAATGTAATTCCTGCAAGCAATGTAGTCACGATAACTACACGACTTCCGAGGCAAAAGAAATATTTCTTTGTGACTATTACACGTATGACTGATTAGTTATGTTCTTTATTAGCTACCGCACGCGACTTCGTACGCGTGGAGTTAGTTAGAAATAAAAGGTTCACTGCTCGTTCCCTGTAGGTGATAGTGATAATATGTAGCCTATATGTTGACCCGACTTCTTAATAATATTAGTGCCAAATTTGAAGTAAATCCATGCAGTACTTTTTGAGTTTATTCCGGACATACATACAGACAAACAGACAAAAAATCTAGAAACTAAATTTTTGGCTTCGGTATCGATTGTAGCTCACACCCCAAGTATTCTTTAAAAAAATATTCAATGTACAGTTTTGACTTTCCTACCATTTTTTTATATGGCTCCTTTATTTATTAATATTTTTAAAAATATTGACATACACGGTAATTCTTGGCGTAATTTACAATTTAATTTACAGTCATTAGATTTCAATGGACACCTTTGTATAATATATTTACTTTAAAAAGGACTTTTAATTTTACCGGTTTGGAAAACATACGAATCATTTTTAATGGCTATGCTGAATGTTACTACATTCAGCCAAAGACTGATCGAAGTTGTTTATATAACATAAAAACAAATCTATTTTGTAAAGATCGATAAAATAAATCTTTTTTTTTTATTATACTATGGTATTAATATCCACAACTATATTATCATTTTCACTACATGCAAATGTGCTCAGACAATTATTATAGATGGTAGGCGACATCATAAAGTCTATTGCCATACATTTTTCGCCAAACACCTCCATAAACACATTATAATCTGTATATATGTTACACTTTAAGGTAAAATTATAAGGTGTGATACACTAAAAATCTAAAATATGGTTATATTAAAAACATAGCAAAAATAATGAAGCTACTGAATATATGGCTATATAACCTAAATCTCTTAGCTTTCTTTGGTTAACGAGAGTTTAAAAATTCTCTCTAATCTGTGGCTCATTCACAATCATCACACAGTTTCTGTCACAGAGTACCTTATTATAACCGGAAATGCATAGATGACACCTGATTTTATAAGTTACTCTTATGCATTAACTTTAAAAACAGGCAACTATCTGTTAATCTACATGCTCTATATACCTGAATCTAATCCATAATTTCGGTACTTGGCTTGATTTCTCTAGTTTACTATATGGTATATGGTTTATAGAAGTTCTCAGGGGTGCCCGTCAATAATATTCGTATCTACAGTAATTTATGTATAATTTCGAATCTAGGAAACAATTTTTCATGATTATTGGTCTTTAGGCCAAACATGTATGGAAGCTGAGCAATTTCCTTTAGTCATTATTTTTTGTCTGTATGTAGCAGCCCCTTTACCGCCATAGGTTTAGGTGTCCACTTTTACCCTACGTAGTAAGTGGGAAAGAATTGTGATCTTCGCCTAACACTTCTGGAGGCTTGATTTTTTATATAGGTATAATATATATTTATTTTACATACATGTAGGTAAGGCCTGGCGTCACATAATTGTTCTATGTCGTATCGATCGAGCTTTCTAAAGCTTCTTCACAATTATCTGCACTGTATCTACACAAAAATACTTACAGCCATTGTTCTGGATAAGTTTTCACAAGGTTGCGTCATTGGTAGCACTATTTCATCAGTGAGTTTGTTTACTACAAATGAGTCACTTCACTCCATGACAAATTACTATGGGCACTTACCGTGCAATGGGGGAATGTAATGATCGTGTCATCCTACCTCAAAATGAGTACCTGTCGTAGGATGATTTGATAAATCGAAGTTTGGCGAAAATCTTATGGATTTTGCGAAAACGCGGAAAAATGGCGATGACATTTCTCAATCTTACTGAAAATATATAGGATTTTTGCGGAAATGTGATTCGCCTCAGTAAGATTTAGAAAAGAATGATTGGCTTATTAGAATAATATTCTTGGGTTCACACTAGGTTAGGTTAGTTTAGTATTGTGACCATGACGCGCGAGCCGAGCGAGCGTACCGTAGGATGGGCCGGCGCGTAGCGCCAGTAAAAATTACGTTAATAGTGAAATTGAGTAAGGCATTCGCTATTGTCTAATTATCCCCTACTTAAAGTAAATGTGTAAATTTTTAAATGGTATTTTTTTCTTTTGTATTTTACCTACAGTCAAATAAGACTATGGATGGTATTATTACGAGTAAAATTATATTCACATTAAAAAAAATGCAGCTTGTTCGCTCAAAGGCGTAGGTTTACCACAGAAAAGGTTTTTTTAAGAAAGAATGTTCTTCTTTTTCCGTATTATGTAGTAGGTAGGTTATGTAGGTTATGTATGGCTGTGGTTGATTCCCCAATAAAGAAAGGAATAACCAAAGTCCTAGGTAATTGCAGTGGCACTGCACCAGCAAGGAAGGCATCTCCAAGAGTTTTAGTTTTAGTGGCAATCGGTCGTATGGGCTAGTTTAGGGATGAGGGGAGAGTTTCAGATAACCCCGTCGCCATACTCAACGCCCCTATATTACCCGTGGTCCACCTAACAAGTTCACCTGTATATACTAATAAGGGAACCTATGCCTTACATAATATTGTAATTATTAGATAAGAGTTTTAATTTAAAAAAAATACTTTAACTACTAGTTACGTTTTATAATAACGAATAAGATATACTGTAAAATGTTGTATCAAATAATTTATTCTTCATTTGACCATGTTCAGTCCGCTATTTTAACGAAAAGTAACCAATTGCAAAGAAGTGCCAGTGAACTTTTTTCACTTCGGAAGTTTAATGACAGTAGATTTACACGTTGGTGGACCATGGGTTTGAATTATTATCCACTAGCTGTGCCTCGCGGTGTTACCCACGGTCTATTAGGGATATTTTCCCACAGTAAAATGTAGCATGTGTGTTAATACTGGGTGTCAGCTAACTCCATACCAAATTTTATTAAAATCGCTCCAGCCGCTGAGACGTGAAGAAGTAACAAACATACACACTCACACCAGGCGCGGTCGCAGCCTGAAATTTTGGAGGGGGTCACTCATAACACTAATAAAAAAACCGGCCAAGAGCGAGTCGAACTCGCGCACCGAGTGTTCCGTACACACCTGAATTTTCAAAAATATTTTTTATTATATGATGTAACTAAAAATTCACGGTTTTCGCAATTTTTTCTTAATCTGTACTATAAGACGTTACTTTGTAGCAAATGTCGAGAATGACCTTAGATTTGGGGGTGGGTCATGTCCCCTGTGACCCCCCCTTCGGACCGCGCCTGACTCACACTCACATACACACACTAGTGTGATAGTGCGCACAGGTCTACGTCAGCATCCGAAGTTCATCCAGGTGAACCAAGGGTCAGAACAAATCCCCTTAGTCCACCCAGGTGGACCACGAGTAAGAAAGGCGAACGCCAGTGTATGTGTCAAGCATAGTCTCAGGGTGAAATAAGACAACGACTGGTGGCTCTCAGTTTTTACTTTTTTAACTAATTTTTTTTCATTTTCCAGTGGAGATGTGGACGGTGTGTCTGCCGGGATGGGGTGCCGCGGTCGCAGCGGGGGCCATACTCCTGTATGGAACCGTGGACGTGGCTTATTTCGCCAGGATGATGTACACAGTGGCCAAGGCGAGGTATTACAAGAAGAAGGCATGCATACTTGACACAACGAAGGTGGAATGTGAGTATCAAAAAAATAAAGTAATCAAATAAAACAAGTTTCATTAACCCGTTGAATGATTTGCACTGATTTTATTTATATATGGACATTTCGCATCCTTTGCAGGAATGCGTGAAGGCGTCGTCGGAATATTCCTGCAAAGGACGCGAAACGTCAGTAAATTAATAAAATCAGTGCATCTAACCCGTTGAAACTTGTATTATTTAACGAGTGGTGTGCGTGAAAACTTGGAGCGAGGAGCTTGATGGCGCAAGTGGTTAGCGCGTTCGGCTGCGATCGTTGAAATTAAGCAACTTTTGCAGTGGTCGGTTATTGGATGGGTGACCAAAAATTTACGATCTCGAGCTTCTCCGTGCTTCGGAAATCATGTTAAGTCGTTGGTCCCGGCTGCATCTGCAGTCGTTAGCACCCACCAATCCGCATCGGGCCGCGTGGTGGGTCATGGCTCAATCTCCCTATTCCATCCATAGGGAAGGCCTGTGCCCCAGCAGCGGGGACATTAATAGGCTGATGATGATGATGATGATGTGCGTGAAAACCTAAGAAACAATTATAGTTTTGCTTTATACTTATTTTGAATATATTTGAGTAAATAATCAAAGGCTTTATATTATAGTATTTATTTAACTGAAGAACAAATACGAGTAGTAAGATTTTTATAACTAAAATCTTTAAAATATATAATAACTAAAATACATTATTAAAAGGAGTCCCTTTAGGCAAGGTTCCAAAGATACCGGCAGCGTCCCCCCTTTGAATAGCTAGACTAATTCTTTGTCCGAGGTAGCTGCCAGCTCTTCGGTCTCCTGTGATGTTGATCAACCTTAATGCTATTTCCTTAAAAAGCCTTACAGCGCTAGGACCCCACGGATCAAGGGTCTCGACACCGAATGGGACAAAATCATATTCGGAGCCTAGACCCCTGTATTTGTATGCCTTAGCTTTTTCAGCCGCTTCGCAAGTCGCACCAGCTCTGTTGTTGATTCCATGTAGATGGGAAGCCAGTGTGTCTGAACAGGTTGCAACCCATACTAGCACCCGGTCCATCTTCCATGGATTCAAACTCATACCGTCCGGTCTCTTGCCATCGTCTCTTGCAATACCAGTCAGCTCAAGTAGACTTGGCACGTTGACGGTGGCAAGGTACCGGCGTATGATATCGTTAAAAATTATTTAAATCAGAAAGTTAAAAGTGTTTGTTAGTCAACCTTATGGAGCTTATGTCCCGTCTGTGGGAAAGCGGCACCAAGCATATAAGCACTTGCACCGTTACCAACCCTGACCCAATCCCCTGACCCGTGGAGCCCTGAAACTGGAACTCACCGACAGAAACGCAACACCACCAAGAGGTAGTGTTATTTTACTGTGGTCTTGTGTAAGGTGGAGGTTATTTCCCCAGACGGGCGCTCTCTGAAAATCATAGTTATGCAAGAAAAAAAGTTCATACATCAGTTATACAGATTTATACAAAGTAAGGACCTAAAGTTGATCCTACCTACCTAATCTAAAGTTGTTAGGTAGTAAGTACTTGAAATATTGAAGAAGATATAACTGAGAACTGACTCACTCTAATTTAGGAGTATTGTTGTTGGTTGATAAAATTAATACCCACTTCCTGTGTTTTTAATATATACCAAAGTCCTAGGTTGTTACTATATCATTGGAATTCCCACAGAATATAAATTTTGGTAGGAGGAAAACAACACAAAGTTTTTATTTTTATCTTACAAAGCGGTGCAGTTATCCTGTTCTACGAAGATAACAGACTCGGCAGCCAAATGCCATCATAAACCCAACCCTACACCGTGAAGCTGTGAAAACCAAGGGCGCTTGTTAAAGATTTTGCGCCGCGTTCAGGTACGGTTTTAAGGTGTATCGACGTCCAGACGAAATAGCCTCGTTAACAACACGAGCACTACCGAAAACTAGTATTATCTCTTTGCGATCTTCTGTAAGGCGAGCTGACTTCCTCAGACAGACACTTCAATCCGAATGGGAATTCCTATGCCCCTATCTATCTTGCTGGGTTTCTTCTGTAAACTTCTATAAGCTACTGCAGCTGTTTTTCCTCGTTCTATCCATACGTGTTGTTTGTCATTCACTTACAGACAGGGTACTTGTAGCGAAAGGTTTTTAGTTCGTAGGGAGAAGTTAAGATTAGCGGGTCCAGAGACCCGAGCAGTCGCGCAAGTTACTAATTCAGATGCAAATACGCGCAATAGAACTGTAGTGACCAAACGAGCATGTAACTATATACTGCTAAGGTCTCTTGTTGACGAGATAGTTTTTGCGGGGTCTAGGCAAAGATTTGAACCGTGTCTACATCCGGTAGTCAGTTAGGAATGAGACATTATGGAGGTTAGTTTACGTCTGACGTCGGCGCGGGGGTTAGCGACGGCTTGGTGTCGGTACAAACGTACAAACTGATGTACTCGTGAACAAGCTTATATGGCACCGACCCGGGTAGACACCGGCTGATAGAAATCTTCTAACTCCAGCTACTTGTACACGGTCCAAATACAAGCGATCGACTGGTGCGTTAGGTTTCTATAAAAGCACCATTAGACAGAAGTAATGTTCGTGATTACATCTGTTCCAGCATGGTGTCTCCTCAACGACATAGACACCCTTCTGTACCACATGAACAACGCTCGCTATCTCCGAGAGTTGGACTTCGCCAGGGCTGATTTTTACGAGCGCACGGGGCTGTACTCTAGCATCAAGGCCGCTGGGGGCGCGGTGGTACAAGCCGCCGCTACGATACGCTACAGGCGGTACCTGAAGCCGTTTACCAAGTTCGTGATCACTTCCCGGGTAAGGATGTCTTTTTATGTTTATGCAAGCAAACGAACTGCCTGTAGACCTGTTGGTAAGTGGTCACTGTCGCCCACGGACACTGGCAGTACCAAGGGTACCACTCATGTGTTGCCGGCTCTGAAGGAAAAGGTTAACCTGCCTTTGGAAGACCATCATATCATAGCTAAGAGTGAGAACCGCTGAGGAAAGTTCGTCCCAGATGGTCCAGAGATACCTGCTTCTACTAGCGATCTATCTGTCCTTCGAATAGATGTGATTGGAGTAGGTACATATTATTATCATTATACCGTCATTTTACTCCTTAACCATTTCGCCGATGTCTAGTAGTTAGAAGTTATAAATTATTAACATATAAACATAAAATGGGAATGACAGCCTTAAAAAGCATTTTATTGGGTTAGACCAGATATTTTGTTAAAGATATTTGGTCATATAAAAAGACAGATATTTGGTCATATAAAAAGACATCCTGACCCAATGGTAGTCCTGACTTTGTAAAAGTACTCAATCGCGGAAAATAGAAGAAATAAACAGGACATAGCGGACCCTAACTTAACCGGAATAAGATCAAGAGAGAAGAGTCTACTTAACTATGAGCTCGTTATGATCTACAGGCTATATACTGGGATGACAAGACCGTGTTCATGGAACACGAGTTCATCGGCCCTGGGGGGTTTGTGCACGCGGTGGCGGTGTGCAGGCAGCGCGTGATCGACACCTCGGCCGCCGCTATAGCAGAGCTTCTGCTGCAGCTGCACTGCGCCGGCGCCTGCAGCCCGCCGCCCGTCAAGATGCCGCCTGAGGTATACCATGTTCATCTGTTCACGCATCTTCTATTACTCCGCTTGAACCATTTGCGGATTATTTATAACTACCCGCACATTGCGCGGCTCCCACCTGTTTGGAAAAAGATCTCACTCAAACGAAACTCAGGTGGAGTTTCTCCCGCTCGTGAAGAAGGACTTTCTGGTCCCCGACCGAAGAAGAAGATAGAAGGCCCTTCTTACTGGAAGTGGTTGGCGTGGGGACTCCGAAACGGTTTCTCGGCTACCACTCTCAACCGAGGGTGCTCCACCGTGGGTTTGTTAGTGAGTAGGCTTCTAAGGATTCATCGAACGGAGTTTCGTTGGTTTTCCAACTTGGGATAGCGAAGAAAAGGGTGACCAAACATAATGGAGCTTCTTATTACAATTATCTACCTTAAAACCTGCACTGCGTTGGCAATCCACTTCCACCTCGGCCGTCGCTATCGCCGAGCTGCTGCTGCATCTGCACTGCGCCGTCGCCTGCAGCCCGTCACCCGCCAAGGTGCCGCCTGAGGTAAACTGTGTAGAATTGTAGACTGATCTACAGAGAGCCTTAGCGTACTTTTCATCTGTGCCTCGTTGACAATACACGCAGTGTTGTTGTGTCGGCCGCTATCATCTGTAGAGGAAGCCTTCATCCTAAAGCCAATGAATGAAGAGGAAGCCTCAATCTAAGGCTAATAAATGTGGTGGGAGCCTGCTCCCTATGGTCAATGAACGTAGATAAAGCATTAATCCTGAGGCCAATGAAAGTGGAGCTCCACATCTTACTAGCCTTACGCCTGCGCTGCGTTGACAATTTGGACTATATTTTTTTCATAAATTTTCAATGAGTTCAATAAAATCGCTGTCGGTGCCGAAAGTGACCTGCTAGATGTTTAAATCTAAAAAAATCGTAGAAAAAGCGAGTGTGCTTATGACTACATGACTGAAGTGAAAATTCTTTAGCTCCGTCTGTATGTATATCTGTATATATGTGTAAAATATATACATGTATATACATATTTCATTTACTAGCTACAAGAGAAAGAGAGAAGCAAAATGTGCACGCGCACTGCTTTCTCCTGCTTATATCCCAACTCAACTCCCGTTCGCCTCGTCCGAACACACTTTTCGTAACGCCTAACGCATTCACCAGCTTACCTCCCGAGTCAAGCGTGCGTAAAGAACTAGCTTCAAAAATGACCCGCGTGGAATTTTTTCTAGCAATTTTTTAAAGTTTTTTTTGTTATTTTAAACACATTATAATTTAAACATGCAAAAGAAGACCTCTTATTCTCTTGAGAAAATAACAACTTGCAAAGTTACGGGCATGCTTTCTGCGGTATTTGTAATAACATCTCGTGAAATACATTCCCAGTTCTCACTCTTTTGCGATGACTCTTTTGATAGTTCCTTAAATGTTTTGTAGGGCAAGTTTGTTTGCACCGATCTTACCCATTAGATCTTCGTTGTAGTCCACCATAGTATCTGATATACAATTTCGAGTAAACTGAAGTAAACTTTAGAGGACTGAAATAAAGTATTGCTTTTCCAAGGTAAAAAGTAAAAGTAAGTGATTTTCAAAGACTTATTTTACGCGTTTTCAGTTGGAGCTATGGGTGCAAAGTAACGACTTGAGTTCAGCAAGACTGCGTGGTGTGTCGTCACCATACCCCCCCACCATTCAATCCCACCCGCTCAGCTGCGGGGAGGTCATCCCCACCACGATGGCCGAGTGAGATCAGCCGCACCGCCCGTCTGACTTGCGATCTCGTTCTCGCGTAACCAAACTCGAGGAGAGCGAGTGAGATGCATGGAGGCGCTTTATTCGGGCGGTGAATTTACGAGTATACATTATCAGTTTAACAGAGATTTTGAGACGGACAGACGTGTTTACGTTTTTCAATTAAAAAATAATTTTGCTTTGAGCGTATCGCAGAATGGTGTTGTTAGGTTCGATATACATGTTTGATGAGTTTTATACGCTTTGTTATTTATTTTACTTTAACTTTGTATTGACGCTTTTATAGTAATCGTATGATAATAATATCATGTTACCATATTTCAACAGGTAATTTGATTTTTAACCACAATACTCATAATACCGTATTCGTATATTGATGTTTTCTAATCATAATTTATGCGTAAAATATCCAGCAATGTGCCTACTCTATTGTAATCATCACTAGAATTAAATGATTTGTAATTTAGTTAAATAGTTAAAATAAATATCTTTTTATTAGATTACGTTACACATATATTTATCACCGTTTTCTTTTATTTGTTTAATTTTTTTAAGTCAGTAACTGACCCCATGTAAATCTGCCTGAAGGTCCTATTGTTGCTATTATATCAAGTTAATTTTTAAGTACTTGAAGTCGAAATTAGTTATGAAAATATGTCATGATTTTTTATGTTTCATGAATCTGAAACTGGTAACTATATAGATATATTATGTTAGCAAGAGGATTTTTTTTATTGAAATCAGCTTAATATAATTAACACTGTACTGTGTAAACTTTGACGTGCTTTATCCATGCTTTTTTTTGGTTGACTGATGATAAAAGAAAAAAGTTTCCAATATTTTTGGAAAATCTAACTGTTAGTCCAAAATAGAATTTCGTTTTCTTTACTTCGTCAGCACCGTTATTACACACAATACCATCAATATATTATGAGTTAGGAGATTTTATGTAAATAATTGTACACAGTATGTACCATTGATATATAATTATGAGTTAACTCAATTTGCACATGTCACATCTAACATACAATTGGTATAAATTTACTTCCAATTTATATGTTCCTTTTACTATGAATAAAATTTTGTTACTTATATGCGAGGCATTTTAGTGTTAAGCCGATTTTACATTGTAATGTGCATTTGTTAAATCGCGATGTACCCAATTGTTATCGAATATAATTTCAGAAATATTTACAAATTAAAATATTGACTAAGAAAAATATCAGCCGAATTGAGAACCTACTACTCCTTTATGAAATCTGTTCAAAATGTAATTATCGCACTAAATTACTTTTAGAAGTGTTCAATTTTAATTGTGGCGGCCACAATGTGGAATTATTTGTTTATGGGAAGATCTATTATTTTGGCTTATATAAAGTAGAATTTATTGAAAATATTTTCGTCATGAGTTATATTTTGTTGCCGTTGCCGTTCCATGTTTCAGACTCCAAAATTTTCATTTCTGGGATGTAGTATTGCATTGTTTAACAAAGTTCACCAAGATCTGATTGAGCTTCCACTAACCAAATTTAAATCTCAGATCAAGAATACTATTATGAATAAGGGCTATTATAAAGTTAATGATTATCTAAATGATCGTAATGCATGGATATAGTGTTTCTTGTAATTTGTTATTTGATGGGTATTTGTCAGTTTTTGTAACAGTAATATGGTGCCTATCTAATGCCGCTTCCTGTATACTAAATAAAAAATTTATTGTAACTATATATCTAAATCCTGAATGATGTAATGGAAGGTGACTTCAGAAGTATCTCTGAAGTCATTTTTCAACTTGACGACTCTGTATATATCAATACAGGGAGAAAAAAACATCCCTCGCCGAGTTTCTTGCCGGTTCTTCTCAGTACAAGGTCTCCCGCCGTAGTTTTGCGAACCGATGGCGTAGCTTCTTTGCCTTCACAAGTGCTTGTAACAGCCTAGACTGAATAAATGACTTTTCATTTCATTTCATTTCATATTATAGAGCGTCGAAAATCCTTTCGCAAACATGTAAAATCGGCTTTACAGTTGATATTTAAAAGTGGTGGTAAAGATTACCATATCTACGTTCTAGTGTCTAAATATTTTATCGATGTATGACATTGTACTTAATTATTTATAACAATAAAAGTTTAAATAAGTTTTTGGGAGTTTATACGAAGCTTTGATTGAGAGCAAAATCTATGTTTTTTTTAATGGAAAAAATAGTCAGTTATTTCACAAATTGATCCCCTTTTAAAGGTCATCATGTTCGGTGTTTCATGTGCGTTGAAGTCTTTCCTAGGGTTCCGTAGATATCCTGAGGGCAACAATGGAACCGTAGTACTAAGACTACATTGTCCATCCGTCCGTCCGTCTTCCATCATCTGGCTGTATCACATTAACCGTAACAAGTAGGTAGTTGAAACTTTTACAGAATATGTAGGTATTTCTTTTGTCACTATAACAACAAAACAGTGACCTGTAAAATACAAACGTAAAACCTACCTCCTAAGATACTTATTACTAAAATTTGGACTAAAGTTAGACTTGACTAAAACCGAATGCTGTCTCTGTTTAAGACAAAAGTCTGTAGCAACTAAACGTGATAAAAAAAATACTAGAAAGAATCCACGCGGTCCACACCCTTCGCTATCGGGGCGAATGCAATGACCAATGGTACCGCGGCCGTTTACATGCTTTAAAAAAAGTATATACAATAAAACTAGTTTTTACGGGTTAATGCACGAAACTTTATTTATTTATTGACGTTTCGCAGCCTTTTCATTTTTTAACATAAGAAGGAGATAGAAAGCCTCTCTTGAGTTTGTTTCGCCGGTTCTTCTCAGGAAGGTCTCCCAATTTTGGAACCGGTGGTAGTTTACGGTAGTTAGGGTCAAATAAATAAACTCAAAATTACAAACAAGAATTTTAAATAAAATACTTTATTAAGTAAATTAAATAATAAATTCATACATAGACAATAAAATTTTAAAAATCTTCCAATGAAATAACCGAACGCTCAATATAAGTCTTTCGAAGGTAGCTCGACAATTTTAAATAAAAAATCATTATTCTGACGATGCAGACCTGAAAAGGCTGCGAAACGTCAATAAATAAATAAAGTTTCGTGCATTAACCCGTAAAAACTAGTTTTATTTAATGAGTGATGTGCGTGAAAACCTAAGAAACAAATAAGTATATATAAACTGTGATAGTATTATTTTTAGAACTGAAGTTAAAGTTTCGTAATAGGTAGGTAGCTGTCTTGTGGTATTTCAACTAATCTGCCGTCCTCAAACTAAAGTGCGGCTAAGTGACATGTGGCCGATTTTTCAGTCTTAAATTGCATCTTTTACAGTTTTTAATTCTCTATCGATCTGTCGTTAAAAAGTATTCGTATCTTTTATAGTTTAAATCTAAAAATCCGCCATGTAATGAATGGTTACAAAATAGCAATAATTTAAAGAATATGAGCCGTTTTTTTGACCATATCTCAAAAGTTGGTTTTGTCATTTAGCCGCGTTTTAGCTTGCGGAGGCAGTAATGTGCATATATCCTTCAGTGTGGTTTTTGAAAGAAGCTTAACATCTCCTATTGAGATGAGAGCAAGGATGTTATTAACCTTTTTGGTTAAAAGTTTGTAATAGACGTTTTTTTTGCTCAGAGACACGTACACAGAGCATCGTGAATATTAAATCGTCCAAGTAAACATAAATGCTAATAAAATGAAAATTACTCAGTCAAACAATTTTCTTTATAGGACCAAATGGCTAAAGTATCACATCGAACAAAAAAATAGTAACTCAAATCAGATTACAAATCTATAAGCAATCGATGTCCATATAAATAAAGTACCGTGACCGAATAGCAACTATTCTGCATCGGATCAAATAGAATCACGAAAATCGGATCAGAAATCTCGGTGTAAGCGGTGTACGTACATAAAAAAAACATACCGACCGAATTAAGTTGAAGTCGGTTAAAAAGGGCGCAATCTTCAATTGAGTTTGAAACATGTAATTACGTATTTCAATATGACAATGACAAATTGAACGGTGTCGTGATAGGGAGTTGTACAATTAGATAATAATTACCTCCTTGGTTTTTTCCATTGGCTAGATTAATAGTTAGACTAGGTTCAATAAAAACAGTGAAAAATAATTTTGTCTTTTCAAACCTTACTGACCTTGGTTATTCGGGTGGAGCAATTGAACTAGTGTTAGTAGATCTTTAGAAGTTATGATGATTGTAGTAACGCTATGTTGTGATATATGCGATCATGAAGTTTCATTATTCACTCGAACATACGACGAACGTATCTTTCTGTTTTCTGTGTCGAACACTGAACACGAAATCTGAAAACATTATACAATCTTTGATGACTATCAAAGATTGTATAATGTCTTTTGTTTGTAATACAATCTTTTATGACTATCAAAGATTGTATATTGGTATTTATAGTATAACATAGTAATATCATTATTTTTAATTTGTAATTTTATTAATTTAATTTAGTATTTTTTTGTTGACATTATAATTTGTAATTCTGTATCTATTTTATTTTTGATCGTAATTTTTATGCTGTTGTTATTATTATTCTGGTTTTTATGTAATTTATGTAATGGCTTAATAAAAATAATTGATTTGAATGAATTTATTTGAATTGAATTTATGCTGTATTTTTACACAGTCGTGTAAATTACCATCAAAAATAAAATAAATACAGAATTACAAATGTCAACAACAAAATAATTAATATAAGAACAAAATTGCAATGTCAACAAAAAATACAAAATTAAATTAATAAAATTACAAATTAACAATAATGACATTAATATGTTATACTATAAATACCGAAGTGGTATTGTCTGATTAGTGTAATGGGCGTGAACAAAGGATTTCACTGTATTCAGTTGATTATCTTGGCACATTCATTTGTTTATTATTTTCAAATAAAAGAAAACATTAAATTTCACTTAATTATTAGCACATTTATCGAATAGGCATAACTTT